AATAAGTCAATTAAATCCTTTAAGAGCTGATTTTTCAATATTAAGTTAAATGTTTTCTGAGGTATAAAATTGTTGCTGTCACTGTCTTATACAAACATTCTGACGCGACAGCATCATAATTACTCCCCAGGTAACATTTATCAAACCATTGAAAAATCAGCCCTAAACAAAATAAAATACGGAAATTTTGTTAAAACCGTCACTTAAAATCGACTAAACGGTAATAAAATTTAAGTAGGACGAAACCACTAAAAGCTTATTTACCGTAATTATTTACTACATAGCCTGTAATGGCAGGAAGATGGCCATCATTATCCCGGAGGCACTCGGATACCTGATCAAACTCAATTACAGAGACCATTACTGAAAATGTCTCTTCGGAGTGGTTGGTTACTTATATGGGAATTCCGGGACACCTTTTTGATGAGGAGAGTCACCAAATGACTTCACTCTAGGTGTGGTTCGATGGAGTGTCACAGTCTTACTGGCACAAAGTGGCGCAGAGTTGACGTTGATGATGTCGTGGTGGCCTGGAGGCTAAGGAGCCCGCTTCTCATGCATGAGAGTGTGGGTTCGAAACCTGGCAAGTACCAATGTGACTTTTTCCGAGTTATATGTACTTTCTATGATTATTTATACACCACTGACATACGGTGAAGGTAAACATCGTGAGGAAACCTGGACTTATAATTTCTAATTGTAAGTTTGAAATCGCCAACCCGCATTGAGCAAGCGTGGTGATTAATGCTCAAACCTTCTCCGTGTGAGAAGAGGCCTTTGCTCAGCAGTGGGCACTTATAGGCTGATGGTGATGATGTTTAAAATTCAAGTGTGGGAGAGCCATGCTTCAACACGAATGGGACGCCGCGACCGGAGTAATACCAAGGCCTCACAGAAACCGATGTGCAACGACGACAGCGTTGTGTTTCGCCACGCGAGTGAGAATACTGCAGGCCCAACCCTTCCCCTACCCAATCCCTAAATCTCCAAACCCCTAATCCGCAAAAGATCGGCAACCTACTCGTAACTCTTCCGTTGTTGCAGGTGTCCATGGGCGGCGCTAACTGCTTACGATCAGGTAATTCGTCGGGCACGTTTGCAGGCTTATCACATAAAAAGTGCTAGATACGGGCAGACAAAAGTTTCTATAAAATTCTCTGATTAAAGGACTATTTAAAAAGCTTCGTTAAAGAAACCGAGCTACAATGGAACGACGTCTGTTCAAGAGTTCGAATCAATGAATATAAAACCTATACAGTTCCATAATTTGAATCAAATACGTAATTTTCGTAAAGTAGTAACCGAGCATTCTGTATTGAAAATAACTGAAAATAGAAACATCATTTGCAAAACTTATAAAAGATTGAAGGCACAGACAAAGCACAATTCCAGAAATCAGATTCATATCGTTACTGTCGAGCGAGTCCCTTCGTGAAAAACGATGCCTTTTGCCCGCTGAATATGAAAATGAAACAATATTCCGTCGTGAATGAAAGCGTCCGGATAAAAGCCGATAGGAGCTTTAAGGCTTTTGCGGTGACGTCAACGGCGTTTCACTTTCAGTCCTGATTTCGGTATTGTAATTGTATTACCGAAACGAAATCGGTGGCTACATTTTGCTTCACATAATAATGGATGTTTAGCCAATACCTTATTATTTTTTTACTCTATTCAAAACTCGATTGAATTGTTGGAATCCTGATAATCCATTATTGCAATTCTTTTCCACCACTCAAATCGCAAATATTCCCTGCCTAGCGAAGACGGCGCCTCCAGCACTCAGTGAAACAGGACACAAAGAACCGTGACATTTGAGAATCGTTCCAATATTTAACGAGTCACCTTTTGTCTCGCTATCTTTGTCTATCCGTCTGTCACAAAGCTAGAAGGGGTACAAAGACCCCTTGCGTCATACCCGCATTATGCCTCGCCCTAATTCTCCCAGACCTGGCTCCACGCCAAATAACACACTCATGAGGCTTTCCAACTGCTCAGGAATTCACACTGTCTCAGTTTCCACTTCAGGGAAATCGAACTCTGTGTTTTGCAGTGTCAACTACAACGTCTAAAAGTTTTGTGAAAAATGCACTTGTTTTCAGGAAATGCATTAAGTTAATGACTTGGAACTGTGAACTCGGATTTGAATATTTACTGTTATGGAGTAAAGCTATTTCAAAACTGCTTTTGTTGGCGTGTCTTCAACTAAATGGCAATGTACAATTTCCAACATTGCCAGCTACGAATATAGCATTATTCTGGTCCGTTTCTCAGTTTTATCAGAACATTCTACCGATGCAACGTCGTTATGTCGCATTGATATAGCATATGAACTTATCGTACAACAAAATTCGATTGCACGGTTGGTGCGGTGGCTGGGTAACTGGCTGCCATGCAACGTGTCACTGGTACGATTCCCGCACGGAACAACACTTTGTGAGATCCACAAATTGTTGTTTCGGATCTGGGTGTCATGTGACATTGTATGTTTGAAACGCCCCCACAATACAGGAGAAAATCCTAAAGTGGGGCAACGTTTTTTTACAACACAGGAGCAAATCCTAAAGTTGGGCAACGTTTTTTTTTTTTCTAGAGAAAAAAACGAGAAATAGATTGAATTACAAATTGAATCACTAATTTCTTACTGCCGCGTTAATTTAACTAGTCAATAGAACGACGAAAGTTGTGCATTGAATTTCCGGTTCGATTCAGGAGAAAGAGTTGTTCGATAACATCTAAAATAAAACTTTTCAAAAACTTAATAGCTGTAACCTAAAATAGAAATCAAGACGATTTAAGTTTATGAAACGGAATACTTGGAAAACAATCCATAAATTTCTCAATCTTGAAACCGCCACAAAAAAGCTCCACGCAATCTGATATCCGATAACTCATTTCTGGCAGTTAGAAGTAATCCAAAAGTTTTTATCTTCCGACGCACTCGTCTGGACCATCCGAGCGGCAGTTTTGTTCACGGTAATGACTTTCTTATCTAAGTTAATTAATGGACGGCTTTCAGAGAGTTTCATCAACTCTTCTAGTTTGTCTTCGAGCCAACATCATTAACTGCTAAGAACTTTTATTACTTCAGGGCATTGCTGCTAGAACTAATTATTTTCTAGCAAAGACATAATTGCTCTCATCAATACTATATCGGGTGCTATTAACTTTAGTCTTAATTAACGGTTACCTAAGTTTGTAAGCAGTAAGGCTCGAACCAGAGTCAGTTAGATGTCTAAGTACTAGGTTTATTACAATCCCAAGATGTTACACAAAAACTGTAAGATCTATTACAAACCGTCGAAAGCGTCTAGAATATTCAGAAAGACCAATGTCTCCATATAGCTCTCTATAAATTAAAACCCAAGGCGAAGTTCACAAAGAAACATTATAAATTATAGGTACAAGTTGAAATAACTACAATAATAATGATAATATTCCGCCAAGTCGAACAATATTTTAAGTTAGATTAAACCGAGCGGATGGAAGAACTGTTCTACAGCTGAACCAGTGAAGTGGAAATTCAACTCATTGTAACTAACTGTTGCAACTGATTGCGTTCAGAAACTCAGTTTGTATACGTGCTATGTTGGAATTTAACTTGCTTCTCCTACAAGTTACGTAGTTTAAAAAGCGCATCGTATAGAGATTACTCAAGTTAATAGATTGGGATTTAGGAAAAACTATAACATCATAAATTACAACTCAAATAAAATCCATATAATAACGAGAATTGAAGTATTGATATGAAAATATCAAAGAACTTCATTAAACAATCCTAAAAAGAAACATACGTAAGCAGGAACCAGTTGCCAACCGACCATCCACTGGCATAAGTAAGTTTTTAGACATGGCTGCCAAAAACCTAACACTTCCATATATTATACTTACTATACTTACTATACTTTGCCAAATGTCTGTATCTTGGCCAGATACAAGCATAAATAAAAATAATGTGTCTGTTCCAAGAAACTCTGTAGCAACCAATTTACATTTTATTAAAGAAAAAATAGGTATATCTATTAATCATGTCGGAGAGTGTCTAGCCTAAAAAAGGCCTGAACAAACGCGAATGGATTTACGCAGTACGCCAAGACTTATTGTACGACTATTGTATACTGGTTTCATTGTCATAATAATATAAAGGAAGGTGTAATTGACATTCGTTATCTTCACGGTAACGACCTGTGGTGACAACAAAACAATGCTTTGTTCTACAAAACGTTTATTTGCCTGAAATAATTACACCACAAAACTAGTTGTTACGAGCATAACCTACTGAATTGAAATACAATTATGAGAACGAAACTTCGAGCCAAACGTAGAATATTAACATTGGTGGCATTTCTTCAGTAGCCAAATAAAATATAATAGCCCTTTACTGAAGGACGATTTAGCCAAAAGCCTCGAGTAAAACGTAACGTTGCCAGTGACCCGACCCCAATGACGCCATTAATGAACGCATAGCGACACGCTCGCGACAATACTGTAATCTATCGAGAGCAGAGCAATCAACCCGGTTTACTTAAGCAAACAGTCCGTGAACCCATAATCGCACCCTGGGGGACACCATTACGGATTTTCATACAACTGTATGTAAATAACACATGTTTGTGGTTTAAGGAGAAATTGGCTATAGGTTACATTCGAGGGTTAATGCGAACAGTCGTTTCATCTGTAATGAACCCTTCTTGATAACATAATAATAGTATCTGTTGAAAGCGATATGAACAGCCTAGACAATTACTTATAATCGATTAATTTAACTGGTAACAATGGTCACCACTTCATTTATAAGTATTTACATGGCCTTTGAAGATCGATACGCTATTTTAAATGGATGACATAGCAAATAAATAATCATTCAAATAATCACTTTTTACCGTGACTTCTCTAAGGCTTTCGATAGCCATCAACATCATATTATTTGTATTATTTACTTCGATGATTTCAAAATTGCAATAAGGTACAAAATCCTGTGTTTCTTAGAGCTAGCTACTTACATTTTCCTCGACGGTCTTCTTGATCTTGGCGCTGGCCTCGCTGACTTTAGCACCAGCCTTATTCACCGCTGAGTACAAGAAGTTGCCCAGGGACTTAGCTCCGGCAACCGCCTTGGTTGTAACTGTGAAATTGGGACACGTTGAAGATATCTTGGATCTTTCTAGTATTGGAATTTAAGTAGTGGGAAGCTTTTAACATATTATTTTCTTTATGTGACTTAAGTCTGTGGATTAAAGGAAATGGTGCTTGTCAGTTTTGTTGATACTAAAACAATTTTTTTATGAAAATGTTACTTGTTAAAATCTTTGCCAAAAGCAAATTTCCAACAATTATTTTTCGGAAAAATATCAAAAAAAAAACAGTAATAAAAATGTTAATAGAAGAAAAACACTAGTTCTACTTTTTCCCAAGAATATGAATTTCACAGAAAAGCTTGGAAAATTTTGAACTCGCCGCATTATGCGAAAATCGGACGGCCAATTTGAGCTAAGCCGTTTATCGTTTTATCACTTTATTTCATGCCAAAAACCGTACAACCGTACCTTAAACATTTCCGTGTCGAGGACACGGAAATGTTTAAGGTCAAACCGCAAACATCATTTGGGAAACCGTAGAACCAGGTTAATGCAAAACAAAATTAAAACGGAAAACAAAACAAAGTTACTAACACTCTTGCATATCAGGTACTTCAATAGCGTCAACGGTAAACAATTTTCTACTCTGGCCACCTGAAAACGGGAAAATAGCAAAAAGAAAAAATAGCAAAACTACAAACAGAATATAAAAAAAAAGAAAAATCATAGCGAAATAAAAACAAAAGCCTCGATGATATTTTCCGAACACGACCATTATTGATTGATTCTTAAACAAAATCTGTCAAGGGTGTACAAAAATAAGCTCCCGTATATGGAATGTATTTTGATCTTGTGCCAAAAATACACAGTAGGTTCCACAAATTAATTTAGTGACGAAATCACCTAGTTGAATAATATGGTCTTTCTTGGTATAATTTGTCGGTTCAATCGTGCAATAAAGTTATATTTCTTAACATTTCAGATTCAATGTGGTATATATGAGACCAATAATTCAATTTCACTTGAAACCAGGATAAGTTTGCCATCATACTCTAGCATAAATCAAATCTGTATGTACTTGTTGTGAATCGAAAGAAAATGTAACTAGCTAGATACGTGAGTGCTTGAATTGCTAGATTACTCCTGTAAATAAACAAGACTACGCTCATCAGGGTCTAGCTAAACTGGTCACGTACCGTTTCCAACGCCTCCAGGCTGCTCCTCAGTGGGGGTGCCGCCAGTGGAAGCTGGCCTGCTGTCCGCCCCACCAGTGGCGCTGCGTCCAATCATATCAAATTAACGATATAATAATTACTTATTGAATTTCCTGAAATATGACCTATTACGGATCTTCGGATAGGGAAGGAGGAACTTTAGTTAAACCAATCAACTCCTAGATCCTACCTACGGTTTTTGAGAATTCTGCAATTTTAATATAGTTTTCTTGCTTAAAATGGATCGTAGGTAATATAAAATTTAGAACCCTTTCAGTGTAACTGAACTTATTCTATGAATCAAGAAAATAGTGCTATGTTTCTTCGTAATCACAATTAAGGTAGTTAGTTAAAAAAGCATTAATTCCTATACTTAGTTCCGTTACAGAGAAATGAGCAACCACTGGCATGAATTCAGAGTTGCGTGGAAAATCAATAACAGTAATATATTCAGAGGTTCGCTCGATATATTCGCGACCTCGATCTGCAAGCTAAGCACAAACTTGAAGCGAATGATCCGTATATTGGTCCCTGACATTTACGTAATACCCTCCCGGTAGCAGAGACGGTCGAAGGTTTTTACCTCATTTATCGCTTGAATGAGACGCCACTAGGGAGATGCGACACCGAAATATAATTTTTACCGATCAAATTATTGGAAACGGACCAACTAAGTAATTTATTATTGAATCTAACGACTGAGCCGACGATTATCTCAATTTCGAACAATACCTTTCTTTATTAACTTCGTAATAAAAACGAATATTTTTTGTAAGTGAATTGAACAATATCTTTTTATAAATCTCTGACGTAGATATATCGTCACGTAATCGATACACGTCGTATTAAATATTTTACAGCTGGGAAATGGAAATAAAAACGGCTTAACTAGTACGCAGTAAATTCCTTATCTAGAACTATAAAAAGGTTGTTATAGTCTAGCCAAATTCGCATTTTACGATTTAAAAAATAAACGGTCCACGTAACTCCATTGGGGAACAAACCTCCGACATGCGAATCTGACTAGATCAAAAAATAGAGATAATTTAAAAACAGTAGGTACACTAAAAGAATGCACAACAACAATGAGAAATTAAAAATGGGGTTTGAGCAGAATAAATGAGTAGTTGTATAATTTGCAAGTGCAACTACAAAAATATGTTCAAATCTGTGTGTTGTCGTCTAATTCATTTCTATTGTAGATAATAAGTTAAATAAGTAATAAAGTAATATTCCCTACAACAAATTAAGAATTTTGCTAAAAACTCAAACTTAATGTATTTGTATGAAATAATAATCACTGCACTATTATGATGTCACGAAACCAATAAATGGTTGAATTCCTACTAGAATCTGACTGAGAAATATGTAATTTCGAAAAATAAATTTTGAGTGTATTTTATGTGAGATGTGCCGAAAAGCCATGAAATTAAATAAGTGATTAAAATAAGCAAAGCAAATTTGTTTATAGTACAATTTTGACGTGCCATATCAAAGCGTCAGTGTCGTAGACAGGCTTCAACAGAATGATATAATTTTGTGTTTCAATAACTTGAAAAATTATTAAATTATATATTAGTCAGGGTTGGTGTATTGTGACTGATAAAACTTTATTATAATCAAGATATTTTTTTACTATATCTTATCATTTTAACTAGTAGCTTTTTAGCTACCTTATGGGGTTCTGATAAACTATTCTTACTGTAATAAATAGTGGCTATCTAGTGTTACATAAAATTGACAACCTGAACAACACTGAAAACCCTAGTCAAATGGTGTCTTTCTCTAATAACTATTTTAACTATGTCAAAAGCCTTCTTGATTGCCATAAAAATGTTTTTTTAATATTGACCAGAAACAATACACCAACGCAAGAAACAGAAAAAGCATAACATAAGTCCGTTCCAACTCATTACATCCGCCAACCCCTCGTACCTATTATACCTAGAATTATCATCATCATCTTTGCCCTCAGCTCTTGGTTCAGCCGGTTCAGCTGGTTCCACCGGTGCAGGCTCAGGTTCCGCAGGAGCTGGCTCATTTTTTCTAAGACCAGGAATTGGGATACCAGAGCCAAGCCAGCCAGTCATTTGTGACTTCACATTGGTAATTAGGTCCAGCTTACTGCCTCCTTTTGTAGGACTGTGAAAAATAAAATATTTTAAATATGGAATTACATCTTTTTATTTTAATGTTGCCTGTTTTGTAATCATACTGTTCCTTTTTGTCTCACAACCAATATTATTTTACAGAATAAAGTCTGTTTATCATTACATAATCCTCAAGTCCTAAAATTTTTCCTGATGATATTTTTTTGTCCTACAATCTAATCCTAATTATTTTGTCTTGTATAGTGTCATTAAAACCAGGGATTCAATAGAGTATATTAATTCCAAGCGGAATCCAAAGGCCCAAGTACTTGACCTAGATTAAAACTCATTGTTTCTAAAAATCAATAATTTACGAAAACCAAGAATTTTGCATATAATAAGTATATTCTCGTCGTTACAGAAGACTGCGCGACACAGAACACTATTCAGCTAAAGATTGTCATTACAAAACTAAGAAACACTTTCCATACAAAAAGAAACAAGTTTTGAGTCAGATTGTGATGTATATCAAAACTAGGTCTTGCGGAATAAATTAATCAATGCATTCCACGAGATAAAATCAAGGTAAAGAGAATGTAAACAAAAGAATTCCATTACCTTAACTTTTCGCCTTCCGCCGTCGCTGAGGAGGCTTCCCCTGTCGCTTCCTTCGTTGGGGTTGGGACTTCCTCATCTTGGGGCTCGCCCTTAGCAGCTCCCATCCACGAACTGACCTGATTAGTGAGTCCTGAAAACATTTTCACTGGCACTAGCTAATGCAACAACTACACAACACAATCACTCAGCGATTTCACTACGCTGCGACAGTTTCGCACATGACCCGCGACACGGACGGTCTGCTATGCGGCTGTAGAAAGCGTGATCAGCTGAAAAACTAAATGGAAAACCACGATCGACCAGGGAAATTGAGGAAGAGTCCACTGCGCATGAAAACTTGCGCTCCTGCGCTATTTACACTTTGTACATGTATCCCCACGAAGAATTCAAGTTGGTGATGGTAATCAGATACCTAGTACTTTGAAATACGGCACAAAATAGCGTGAAGGTTTTCCAACATATGGTATTGACTTGGGTGCGGTACGGTTTACGTCAAAAATATGTCAAAGCATAGAGCGTTTCCGTTTACTCCATTTAATTCACAACTTTATTAAAGTAAATCATGGTTTTTATTTAATTACCTAATATTTAACTCATGCTCACACTTAGAACACATTTGGTTACAATAGTGAATTCATAAAATAATTTCAAATGCTATGATATTGTAATTTGGAAAGGAATATAAAATCAAAAGAATGTTGCTGTGATCTACCTTCTGTATATAATAATTTGGTAATTTAGCAGTAGGTACGAAAATTCATAATGTTTAATTTATTCATGTTTTGTAAATTTATTAATGTTTTGTAAATACTCTGAAATCTAGATGCCTAAATTGAAACGTTGCTTTAGTTTCATTCATCTGTGCAGTCTGTATTGAAAATTGGCAAATTAAAAAAAAAACTTGACATTTCTGATTTGATTCACAATTTTTGTTTGCAGTGAATTTTTACAACAATCTCTGTGTTTTACTGAACAAATGTAGGAATTCGTAGTCCTGGAGACTTTAAATTACGGTAGTACCTCGAATAAGACGTCAGGGTGTGCAAAATTTCATCATGACAGAAACACGAAAATTACAACTTCACCTTGGAAAATGTATAGAAGATTTGGACAAATTACACAATGTACCAGATTTGAAGTCAAAAAGAGCTACTTTGTGAGTATTCCTAGCTACTGCAAACAAGAAATCTCATACGAACCCCAAAAAATGTATTAAAACGTTAACTTTTGTTGTAGGTTATGCAAAACAGCTCTAAAATTATTTGAAAGTGCTGAAGAGTCCCGTGAGAAGGGAGATGAGGAGTACTCTTACGTTTATTACATGAAATACCTCCGGGTAATAGCTTATATCAGCAAGGACAAGGACTATCTGAAGGATAAGACTTATTACAACAACATGTTGGGCCCAAAGAACCCAAATAAGGCTATAGACCAAGCTGAAAAGCTTAAAAACAGTCTCATAGACAGGTGAGCTATAGTGAATATTGTTTATGATAAGATTTGTTGTCATTACTCTACTGTATGTACAGAATTTACATAGGACATCTTTTATCAACAAAAGATAAGCAATGAGTCACAGAGTAAATAATGTTTGGTTTTATTTTTTAACATACTGCCAAAGTTAGTGGTTGCTCTATAAAATGGTGGAGTTTATTTACAGTGAATTTGGTTTAGTGGACCCTCTTATATTTAGTCATGTTGTTATATTTTTATATCTCAAATGGTAAGCAATTTTATTATATTACACCAGTTTCTAAATTATTGCTTAGATATTTTTTATTCAATTATACTTACATTAATTTATTTTGTTTGAATGGTAACATGGTAATATTCAGCAGTAGGAAGTTGATGTATGTGTAACACACAAAAGTAATGTTATATTTTAACAGGCACTGTTCACAGTTTGTAAATAATTTTCTTACATGATTCATATAAGAAAGTAAGAAACTGTATACAAAAATACTATAAAGAAGTAAACATGAAAGTATTGTAAACTTTACAGGTATCAGCAGGAACAGAAGGAGAAGCGACTGAATGATATAAAAGAGAATGAGCTTATAAAACAAAAGATAGATGAGAACAGAAAGAAAATGGCTGAAGCCGCTCCTATAATAGAACCACCACAGCCTCTTGGATTACCAGGTAAGTTATTATACCAGTTCTAAGACACACATATTATAAAAATATATTAAAATTATTGTTTTTAACAAAGTGAAGTCACTTGCAATGTCCAGTCAATAGTTCACTAGTAGTAATGTGTCAAAATAATAGTAACCTGTAAATACTTGTTACTTATTTGGGATGTACTCAATAGTGGTAAAATTACACAAGTATGTGATCCAATCTATACCACTTCATATTAATCTTATATTAATACTAGCAGACCGCCCCTGCTCCGCACGGGTATCCGACTACCCCGGTGTCAGTCATTTGTTTTGCAAACGAACGGCCACGGCGTCGAAAGGGTTCTTAATTCCCGCTATTCCCCTTAGCTTTTCTAAAGTTTTCTTTCGTAAGAACCTTCTCCTTATAATAACGTACATAACAAAAAAAGAATTGGCAAAATTGGTCCAGGCGTTATTGAGTTATGCTCTTACCAACACATTTTGCGATCCATTTTTATATATAAGAAGATAAGAGCAATAATTTATTTCTGACTAAAGCTTAAGTTTATCTTGAAAGTAGTTATACTCTTATATGACTCCTTAGCCTATATTATAGTGTTATATTTATTAGCACAAATATGACATAACATTAACATTTTAAGTAAAGGAGAGCCATGCTTTAACATAAATGGACTCGCAGAAAACTGGTGTTTGTAAGCATTGTATGTGTGTTTCTTGCCCAATGCTTCCTATACCCTGCTCCTTATCTCCAAAAGGTCACTAACGCATTTGCAACTCCTCTGGTATTGGGGGTGTCCATGAATGATGCTTGCTTTCCATCATGTAATCCATCCGATCGCTTGTCGCCGAAACAAATAAAAAATAAAATTTAGTGCTTAATTTCACATATTAACACAAAAACTAGAACTAAGAAAGTAACCCCTTTTGTTGTCAGTCATGAGCAGAACATATGAATCACTGTACTACCTTGACTTGTCAAAGTCGATGATAAAATGATAAAAAAGTTAATAGTACTTTATAATTAGTATTTAGTTGATTTAAGTTTGATAACTATGATTCATATAAGAACTATTTGATTAGGTACCTACTATAAGATGGTTCTCCCAATTTATTCTACATTGCATTAATAAAAAAGAGATCAATATACATCTAGAGACAAATATTAAGTTTTTCATGATAGACTAAATTTTAAACTTTCGCTATTCATATTGACAACATATAATTACGCGGGTATTAACGCGAAAAGTATTTATTGAGATACCTTGGTAGGCGTGACGTTTCGACCTGGTTGCACTGGTCGTCAGTCAACTTGTGACCACGAATTATATGTTTTCATGTTACAGTCTAAGCTATATCTACTGCATAATGTGTGTTGCGGTTTTCTATTCATGCTCGGATAGTCTTATGGGCACTACAAATTATTGTTCCATGTTATGGTATGATGTGTATGTGAAAAACACTGAAGTAATTCCTTTTTTTTGGGATAGTGGTGGCAAACACTACACGGTTGGTGCGGTGGCTGGGTAACTGGATGCCGTGCAACGTGTCGCGGGTTCGATTCCCGCAATGAACAACTCTTTGTGTGTCCACAAATTGTTGTTCCGGGTCTAGGTGTCATGTATATGTGTAATTGTATGTTTGTAACCGCACCCACGACACAGGAGAAAACCCTAGTGTGGGACAACGTTTTTTTTTTTAAAACATCAAGCAGAAGGATCCCCTGATGGTTGCGTATGGACACCTGTGTACGTTGCTGACCTTTTAGTGATTAATGATTAATGGGATTTGAAGATTGCAGGAACAAGGGAGGGGTATTAGTTCGCCATATTTTTATTTACATATTTTTTCTCTTTCAAAATCTCATTTTCAGTCTGGTTAAAGCATATGATTTTGTTTACAGGACCCGATGAAGTGACGATCAAGAGTGAGATGTTGTACTCCATTCTCAAGAATGGTAGGATTAAGGTCATGATTTTGGATGCGAGACCGGGGAAGGATTACATTGAGTCGCATATTAACTATCCCGCCTGTATCAGTGTGCCTGAGGAGTGCATCTCTCCAGGGTAAGATTTTGTATACCATGCCATAATACAACATTTTATTCCAAAAGTTCTAGTTTCTTGGTTTAGTTGTATATTGCAAACATGTGACGAGTTTCTACCTCAGATCATAAACATAACTTTACACCTTTTAATCTCCAAAGGAATAAACAGTTTTTAAACTTTCGCGTTTCATATTTACAATATAATTACGCGAGTATTAACGCGAAAAATTGTATGTTTGACACGACACCCACGACACAGGAGATAATCCTAGTGTGGGACGTGATTTTTTTGAAAATGCAAATGGACAAAAATCTTATTAATTTGTTTTCGTAGGCAATCAGCGAACGTACTGGAACAGAACCTGCCGCTAGCGTCGCGGCCCGTGTGGGCGGAGCGCGCCAACATGGAGCTCATCGTCATGCTGGACTGGAACAGCACCGCCGTCATACCCGGGAAGACTCTACATCTACTCAAGACTACGCTCCTCAAGGTATACTACTACTTTACTGCTTTTTGTGTTGAGGCACAACATACAATCTTAATTTGAAATCTTACAACAAAAGTCCTTAAAATTTTCTTTTTTCTCTTCAATACATTTAGTATGTGTCACGTTATTTATCAATGAAAAATTAAAATTATCTCATAATTGATTTAAACATGAATTTTCGTCCGCTGCACATTTTTAAACCGTCACAAAAAAATTAACTTATCTAAACAAAGGTAGAATTTTTTTACTTATTAAAACCCAACTCGTTAACTGTTTCTCCTGCTCCAAACCAAGCCGCTATATCGCATTACGCTTGCCCCAGAGACTAGTTTTATTTGTAGTATCTTTATTAAAAACTAGCGGCCCGCCCCCGCTTCGTACGGGTCCAACTATCTCGCTATCAAAGGGTCACTCTTTCCTAATCTTCCCCTCTACTTTTCTAATATTTTCTTTATGCGCTTACCAACACATTTTGCGATCCATTTTTATACATAAGATTTGTGTTTGTTGTGTAGTGGGACGTGAAGGTCCAGTACAGCCGGCCCCCGCTGGCGCTGGCGGCGGGCTACGAGGACTGGCTCCTGAAGTACCCCGCCTGCACCACCAACCCGCAGGCCGTGCCGCCCCGACAGGACGACTTCATGGACGACATGCTAGGTAATACACTACACCACTCGTTTTAATGGCTCCTGGTTTTATTTATTTACTACCGGCCTCTTCCTAAAAACCCCCACATAGTTCAGCGAAATTTTAAGGACCGTTTCAGAGATCACAAACTTTTTCAAACAATCAGCACCATCTGAATCTAAACCATCACGCATACACAAAAAAACATTTTACACACGTACAACAGAATTATATACATAAAGATATAAACTTTATGCAACATAACATTACAAAGGCTTAGGGTGATGCAGAGAGAGTATGGTAGGTGCAACTAGACGCGATATTATGCCAATTAGCGAAATTTTGTATCAGCATTGCGCCCGTGCGAAGTTGGGGCGTTTTGCTAATACGCAATAAAGTATTAAATGTTAGGAAAAAAAATTAGTTTTTATTCCGGGACAAAAATCCAGGCTTGTTGCAGAATGCAATCCCACTCCTATGCAATCATGCATATGCACATGCAGTAAAGGTAACATACATATGCACACGTGCAAAAAGACGGAAAAACATGGCACGCAATCAAACCTACACTCGACACGTGTTTCGCCCCTCCACAGGGCATCCTCAGGAGATGTTGACTCGACGAGCGCTCGGCTGCGAGTCGGATTTTTAACTAAATATTTTTCCTAACATTTAATGCCATGGATTTCCGCAAAGTTACGCCTGATTCTATAAATTATCGCAATAAAGTATATTTTCGCCATAAGCCACACAGTAGTGTAGTAGTGGACAGAAATAGGTGATGGAAAGCACTGTGCCTACCATGGACAGCTAGACCGACAAGTGCGTTGCCGTTCCTTTGCAAGCCGTAATCGTTTAACGCTAGTATTCTATGAGGCCGTGGTATCACTCCGGTCAAGCCAGATTAGAAAACGGTCACTATGCTTATTGAGTACTAGCCATTCTCGCGCGGTTTCACCCGCTGCTCGGCTTTTACAGATTTTAGCGTGATGTTTTATAGCCTATAAGCCTTCCTCGATAAATGGACTAACGAACACAAAGAATGTGCAATTCGAACCAGTAGTTCCGGAGATTAGCGCATTCAAACAAACAAACAAACTCTTCAGCTTCATAATATTAGTATAGATTTGATTGTACAATATGAATTTGTTTCAGGTGAGATTGACTACCCGAACTGGTCAGATCTGAGTCCTTCGGCCGCGGCCGCCCCGGCAGCCCCGCGCAAGCCCGGGGAACCGGTCGTAGACAGGAGCAGCAAGGTAACAGGTTCCTTTTAGCTAGGCCACTGATCTTCTATTTGTATCTACTAGCTTCCGCACGCGGCTTCGCCCGCATGGTATGTTGATAAAAAATAGTCCATGTCCTATTCCGGAGTATATCCTATGCCTGTGCCAAATTTCATCCAGATCCCTCCAGCTTGTTTGGCGTGATTGAGTAACAAATATCAAAACTTTCGCATTTATAATATTAGTAAGATAGATAACACGTTAACGCCATTAAAGGAAATTCTAATACAACAAAAGTAGTAATGATCCCCCCCCCCTACAAAAGGTGATTTGCAATCGTCGCAAGGAAAATTTGTTCCTATTCTTCCCCGCTATGCTTTCAGATTTCCATTTTGAATTTCGGAATCTAACAATGTATATTTAAAAATATAACAATGTAAAGAACCGAACTAGTAGTGACCTGTTAGACGCTTCGTGGCGCCATAGATACTCTAGATGCAGGCGTTTGCACGCTTTTATATCCCAAAGCACAGGGTGTTTATCGAGAGACGATCTCCGGCCACCTAGAATGCGGGTCTAGGGCGAGTAAGGGTAGCTCGTCGTCCGCGTGCGTGCGCCTCAAAGAGCCAATAGACCACCACAGACGGGGCCCTATAGGGCTTATGTTCAGCCGGAGTTGCGGGGTAAGCGCAATGAGGCACCGCGACCTCGGCCCAGAGCTGGAGAAGGAACAGGGGGTTTTTTAGACAGTAAGAGTCTGACACTCCCTCCCGCGTGACCCTAGGCGGCAGAAGTCATTAGAGATGATTTTCCCATCACAAATAAAAAGCACAGTCTGTCTGCCGTACCCCAATATCGAATTGTCGCACGTACTAAGTCCCCAATTGGGTAGTTTCCTAGGTCTAAAATAAATTTATTCGGCGTTTCAATACATTTAAATATTGAAAAATAACTATACTTTTATTCATCGATCGATCGATACACTAAGTTTTAATTTTATTTTTAGCTAATTATTAAGAAATAAGTAAGCTATTTGACGCAAAAATGTTATGACGTCATAACTCAGTTTTTCATAGAAAAGTATCGTTTATGACGTTTGGATAAAAGTATTGAATTTGACTAGTTGGAAACTACCGTATTCCTCGCGCTCTAGTCTCGCTGGACGGTCTTCTGGAATCTTATCCAACCAATGATATGTTTGCAGATGGATGGAAGGAAATTTTATTGGAATGCATGAAGTACTACAAGAGGAACTTATGAATGTCGTTTATGTAATTAGATCAAATATGTATTAACATAAATTAATTAGTTAATTTGTGGTTCCCCCGTCAGGCGGCGGCAGTGCAGATGTACTCTGAGCGCGCGCGCAACATGGCGCAAATACTGGAGCAACAAGAGCGCATAGCCGACACTTCACTCACGTTGGAGATGCAGAGGATCGCGGCTGAGCATGTACGCAACTATATTATTTATTTTAAAAAGAACATATTTATCTTTTATAAACGACCTTGCATAAATAAATACATAGTTCTAAAATAAATGATACTCAATTGATTGGTACATAATTTCATAAAATACATTTATTTAAAAGAAATAACGCAATATATCTATTCCAAATGAGACTTAAAGGATCTATGTACAAACAATGAGAAGAATCCAATTAGAAAGGTTGGATTATATACCTGGGTGTTCAAACAAAATTGACAAAATAAATGACATTTTATGTATTGTCTTCATTAGTCTGGACTGACCTCACCAATAAGTTACAGAGCAGATTGGTTTCTCGGTAACTTTAAAAAATCTCATGTCATCATAATAAGAAAGAAAATCAGAGCATTTGTTTCTAAGCATAATATTCCACAGATCTTATTTGATCCCCAATTTTTTCCTCTTAGGACTGGGAGAAGGTCCGAGAGCAGCGCGAAGCAGAGATGCAGGACGAGCTGCGCGCCATGTACAAGCTCAGGGAACAGGAGATCATCTCACAACTCATGCAGCTTGAGAACAAACAGTACGATATGGTGAGTGCTAACTTATTGGAATTTTTACGATCTGCAGATGTCTTATCATTATCATCTTATTAGTTATTCCATTATTCAAAAATGGTGACACTAAGGAACCAAACAACTATAGGCCTTTGCCTGTTCTGCCGGCTCTTAGCAAAGTGTTCGAAAAGTTAATGCTATCTCGGATGCTCCATCACTTTGATAAACATGCCATCTTCCATCACCAACAATACGGTTTCACACAACTGACGCCTTGTCACATTGATAAAGGAAGTATTCGGTGCTTGGGAGGAAGCACAGGATGCTGTTGGTGTCTTTTGCGACTTCTCAAAAGCGTTCGATTGCGTTGATCATGAAACACTCTTGCTGAAATTAGATCATTACGGGATTAGACGTACTGCACTCCGTCTACTAAAATCATATTTTGAGGATATGCAGCTGAGAATTCATGTAAGTGGTTCTAACTCACAGGGCTCTGAGATAAGAATGGGCGTTCTGCAGGGTTCAATATTGGGTCCGTTTCTCTTTTTAGTGTATATTAATGACTTGCCAGTTTTATTTAAAACTGAGCCAAGTATGGTGCTGTTTGCAGATGATCAACATTAAATTTTAAAATAGGTCGACGTGCTATTAGTTTTGACGAAGTAAAAAGCTCCATTCATCGAGGTCATAATTCACAATATCACAGTAATGATTGTGGCATAATTTTAAAATGGGCAAAAGTTAGAATTTGTCAACGAGACAGTATTTATAGGTATCATACTAGACAATAAACTTCAATGGGGTTCCCACATAAAGACGCTTTCGGGGAGACTAAGCTCTGCTGTTTTTGCAGTTAGACAGATAAGACAGCTCACAGACGTGAACACAGCAAGGCTTGTCTATTTTAGCTATTTTCAAAGCATTATGTCGTACGGAATTTTGCTGTGGGGTCGAGCTGCGGAAATAAAGTCAATATTTATTCTACAAAAGCGGGCATTCCGAGCGATACATAACCTGCCCCGTTGGGAATCTCTGAGAGAACTATTTAAAACGATATATATCCTGACGATGCCTTGTCAGTTTATATATGAAAATATTATGTACGCAAGGAAAAATTTGCAATTATTTAAAAAAAAGAAGCGATAAACATAATTTTATTACAAGAGGCAAAGATAGGCTGGCTGTGCCACGATTCCGTCCGTCCAAAGTACAGAAATCCTTTATGGGGCTCTGTGTAAATTTTTACAATAAAATTCCAAGTAGTGTATTAAATATAAACGAATGAAAATTTAAAACTTATATTAAACGCAAATTGTGTAGACAGGCATACTACAAACCTTCAGATTATATTGAGGATAAGAATGCCTGGCAGCGTGTTGATTCGGCTCCACTGGACAATATTCAAATGAAGTCAGTAGTTACTAAAATTCTCATTTCAATTGAATGAATCCTTAATTTATCAAAGCCAAAGAGTTTATATAGAAGCACTCTTAAAGATTGTGAGAACGCATACGTGAGCGCTATGTTCGAGACGACAAAGGATTGAAATTTTATGATAGATCCCATCGTTTGTTCTTTTTTTTACAACTTGTCTCTGCATTGTTCTAACATAAGGGTACAAAAATTTATACTAAATGTTATATTATTGAAATTGTAAAACATTTTTTTTAAAGAGTAACAATAGAGTTTCTTGCTCGTTCTTCTCCATTCGAATCTACATCTTGGAATGAGCACCTACGGGCTTCACTGACGAACAGACTGACAGACTACTTTTCTATTTTGGCGTTTCAAAAGTACCTATTTATGGTTCAGTTGGAATAAATGATTTTGACTTTGACTTGACTTTAACTTTCTTATTGACAAATATTTTAAATTTCTTCTAAGATGATTGCACAAAGCACTTGCGCATCGTTGCGCAAATTAACTGGATCGATGCGCAAATTAATCCAATGCCCAAGTGAGAAGAGCAATTAAAGTCAGTTGTCGTAACCAGTTAGGGTTAATTAAAAAACCCGCACCATTTGAATTTTCCACAAAGATGATTTCATAAAGCACTTGTGCAATGATGCGCAAATAAATGTATTCGACGCGCAATCCAATGCGCAAATGAGAAGTGCATTAAAAATCTGTTATCATTACATAATGTCCAAGAAGATAATTTCTAAAAATAAACTATGAAAATACAATCATAAAAAATATTCAGGAACAAGAGAACCAAAGTCTCCGGGAGAAGTTGGAGGAGTACCAGCGGAAGGAGAGGGAAGAGGCCGAGAAAATGGCGGAGACCATCAGCGGGGCCCCCGAGGACACTGAAACTGCTGATGCTGAAGGTACATTTACGTGTAACTTACTCTTTAGTATTTATAATGGCAAATATTATTTTAGTTTTTCTCAGCGTGGGAACTGAAATTATGATCTGAGGTTTGCGCTCAACAATATCTGCACAATGACTGCACAGTTGTTGCGGGTTTGATTCCCTCACGGAGCAACACTGTGTGTGATCCACAAATTGTTTTTTCGGGTCTGGGTGGCTTGTGTATGTTTGTGAACCCACGACAAAGAAGAAAATCCTAGTGTAGGGCGACGTTTTTTTTATTTACTTTCCTCATCAAGGAGACTTGAAATTTTGAATCTGTAGTTTGGGCTCAACAATAAGCTCGCCCACGTGTAATGAGTGAGTTGTATCATGAAGCGGTATGACCGTTACTTGTGGCTTCTGTGGTGGGATGATCTGATTTGTTGATGGGTTAAAATAATTAAATGACTTCTCCCGCCCAGGGCCGGGCGGGAGGGAGTGTCAGACTCTTACTGACTAAAAACCCCCCTGTTCCTTCTCCTGCTCTGGCCCGAGGTCGCGGTTCCACATTGCGCTTACCCCGCAACTTCTTCCCTGGATGTGGCGGAAGGGAGTTTCAGATTCCTAATGATTAAAAACTTTTCCGTTCCTTTTCTGATCCAAGTGGAGACTCCGGTTGGACAAAAGCCTTGAAATTTGTTAGATCATAGTTTATGTACAGTACAGTTAATAAAACCGTTAGCCGGCTATATTTGCCTCAAAGAGCCAAAGACTACCACAGATGAGGCCCTATAGGGCTGATATTCAGCCGGGGTTAAGGGGCAAGCGCAATTTGTCACCGCGGCCTCGGCCCAGAGTAATAGACTGCACGGTTGGCACGTTGGCTGGGCAACGCCAAGTTTTTAGTCAGTAAGAGTATGACCCTCCCTCCCGGTCTCTTCCCTGGCAGTAGAAGTCACTAAACCGCCCCCCCCCCCTGCAGCAGCGCGGGCGCTGTCGGCGGCGCGAGCCCGCATCGCGGCCGTGACGCAGCAGCGGCGGCAGCTGGACCGCACGCGGGAGGCACTCGAGGTCGCGCGCAAGCGGAGGCTAATGCATGCGCGGCACAACAAGCCCGACGCACACCGACCCACGCACGGGGTATGTACCCACCTTCACCATTATTCACGCACGCGGGAGGCACTCGAGGTCGCGCGCAAGCGGAGGCTCATGCATGCGCGGCACAACAAGCCCCGACGCACAACCGACCCACGCACGGGGTATGTACCCACCTTCACCATTATTCACCGCACGCGGGAGGCACTCGAGGTCGCGCGCAAGCGGAGGCTCATGCATTGGGCGGCACAACAAGCCCGACGCACACCCGACCCACGCACGGGGTATGTACCCACCCTTCACCATTATTCACCGCACGCGGGAGGGGCCACTCGAGGTCGTCGCGCAAGCGGTGGCTCATTGCATGCGCGGCACAACAAGCCCGACAGCACAACGCCCACGCCCGGGGTTATGTACCCACCTTCACCATTATTCACCGCACGCGGGAGGCACTCGAGGTCGCGCGCAAGCGGAGGCTCATGCACCTTCACCATTATTCACCGCACGCGGGAGGCACTCGAGGTCGCGCGCAAGCGGAGGCTCATGCATGCGCGGCACAACAAGCCCGACGCACACCGACCCACGCACGGGGTATGTACCCACCTTCACCATTATTCACCGCACGCGGGAGGCACTCGAGGTCGCGCGCAAGCGGAGGCTCATGCATGCGCGGCACAACAAGCCCGACGCACACCGACCCACGCACGGGGTATGTACCCACCTTCACCATTATTCACCGCACGCGGGAGGCACTCGAGGTCGCGCGCAAGCGGAGGCTCATGCATGCGCGGCACAACAAGCCCGACGCACACCGACCCACGCACGGGGTATGTACCCACCTTCACCATTATTCACCGCACGCGGGAGGCACTCGAGGTCGCGCGCAAGCGGAGGCTCATGCATGCGCGGCACAACAAGCCCGACGCACACCGACCCACGCACGGGGTATGTACCCACCTTCACCATTATTCACCGCACGCGGGAGGCACTCGAGGTCGCGCGCAAGCGGAGGCTCATGCATGCGCGGCACAACAAGCCCGACGCACACCGACCCACGCACGGGGTATGTACCCACCTTCACCATTATTCACCGCACGCGGGAGGCACTCGAGGTCGCGCGCAAGCGGAGGCTCATGCATGCGCGGCACAACAAGCCCGACGCACACCGACCCACGCACGGGGTATGTACCCACCTTCACCATTATTCACCGCACGCGGGAGGCACTCGAGGTCGCGCGCAAGCGGAGGCTCATGCATGCGCGGCACAACAAGCCCGACGCACACCGACCCACGCACGGGGTATGTACCCACCTTCACCATTATTCACCGCACGCGGGAGGCACTCGAGGTCGCGCGCAAGCGGAGGCTCATGCATGCGCGGCACAACAAGCCCGACGCACACCGACCCACGCACGGGGTATGTACCCACCTTCACCATTATTCACCGCACGCGGGAGGCACTCGAGGTCGCGCGCAAGCGGAGGCTCATGCATGCGCGGCACAACAAGCCCGACGCACACCGACCCACGCACGGGGTATGTACCCACCTTCACCATTATTCACCGCACGCGGGAGGCACTCGAGGTCGCGCGCAAGCGGAGGCTCATGCATGCGCGGCACAACAAGCCCGACGCACACCGACCCACGCACGGGGTATGTACCCACCTTCACCATTATTCACCGCACGCGGGAGGCACTCGAGGTCGCGCGCAAGCGGAGGCTCATGCATGCGCGGCACAACAAGCCCGACGCACACCGACCCACGCACGGGGTATGTACCCACCTTCACCATTATTCACCGCACGCGGGAGGCACTCGAGGTCGCGCGCAAGCGGAGGCTCATGCATGCGCGGCACAACAAGCCCGACGCACACCGACCCACGCACGGGGTATGTACCCACCTTCACCATTATTCACCGCACGCGGGAGGCACTCGAGGTCGCGCGCAAGCGGAGGCTCATGCATGCGCGGCACAACAAGCCCGACGCACACCGACCCACGCACGGGGTATGTACCCACCTTCACCATTATTCACCGCACGCGGGAGGCACTCGAGGTCGCGCGCAAGCGGAGGCTCATGCATGCGCGGCACAACAAGCCCGACGCACACCGACCCACGCACGGGGTATGTACCCACCTTCACCATTATTCACCGCACGCGGGAGGCACTCGAGGTCGCGCGCAAGCGGAGGCTCATGCATGCGCGGCACAACAAGCCCGACGCACACCGACCCACGCACGGGGTATGTACCCACCTTCACCATTATTCACCGCACGCGGGAGGCACTCGAGGTCGCGCGCAAGCGGAGGCTCATGCATGCGCGGCACAACAAGCCCGACGCACACCGACCCACGCACGGGGTATGTACCCACCTTCACCATTATTCACCGCACGCGGGAGGCACTCGAGGTCGCGCGCAAGCGGAGGCTCATGCATGCGCGGCACAACAAGCCCGACGCACACCGACCCACGCACGGGGTATGTACCCACCTTCACCATTATTCACCGCACGCGGGAGGCACTCGAGGTCGCGCGCAAGCGGAGGCTCATGCATGCGCGGCACAACAAGCCCGACGCACACCGACCCACGCACGGGGTATGTACCCACCTTCACCATTATTCACCGCACGCGGGAGGCACTCGAGGTCGCGCGCAAGCGGAGGCTCATGCATGCGCGGCACAACAAGCCCGACGCACACCGACCCACGCACGGGGTATGTACCCACCTTCACCATTATTCACCGCACGCGGGAGGCACTCGAGGTCGCGCGCAAGCGGAGGCTCATGCATGCGCGGCACAACAAGCCCGACGCACACCGACCCACGCACGGGGTATGTACCCACCTTCACCATTATTCACCGCACGCGGGAGGCACTCGAGGTCGCGCGCAAGCGGAGGCTCATGCATGCGCGGCACAACAAGCCCGACGCACACCGACCCACGCACGGGGTATGTACCCACCTTCACCATTATTCACCGCACGCGGGAGGCACTCGAGGTCGCGCGCAAGCGGAGGCTCATGCATGCGCGGCACAACAAGCCCGACGCACACCGACCCACGCACGGGGTATGTACCCACCTTCACCATTATTCACCGCACGCGGGAGGCACTCGAGGTCGCGCGCAAGCGGAGGCTCATGCATGCGCGGCACAACAAGCCCGACGCACACCGACCCACGCACGGGGTATGTACCCACCTTCACCATTATTCACCGCACGCGGGAGGCACTCGAGGTCGCGCGCAAGCGGAGGCTCATGCATGCGCGGCACAACAAGCCCGACGCACACCGACCCACGCACGGGGTATGTACCCACCTTCACCATTATTCACCGCACGCGGGAGGCACTCGAGGTCGCGCGCAAGCGGAGGCTCATGCATGCGCGGCACAACAAGCCCGACGCACACCGACCCACGCACGGGGTATGTACCCACCTTCACCATTATTCACCGCACGCGGGAGGCACTCGAGGTCGCGCGCAAGCGGAGGCTCATGCATGCGCGGCACAACAAGCCCGACGCACACCGACCCACGCACGGGGTATGTACCCACCTTCACCATTATTCACCGCACGCGGGAGGCACTCGAGGTCGCGCGCAAGCGGAGGCTCATGCATGCGCGGCACAACAAGCCCGACGCACACCGACCCACGCACGGGGTATGTACCCACCTTCACCATTATTCACCGCACGCGGGAGGCACTCGAGGTCGCGCGCAAGCGGAGGCTCATGCATGCGCGGCACAACAAGCCCGACGCACACCGACCCACGCACGGGGTATGTACCCACCTTCACCATTATTCACTTCTGCCCTGTTCTGTTTTGTCGTCGGTTCCCTTCAAAATATTGACGTTTGCAACCAATGAAATTATGAGTAAAATGATGTAGATAGGGTACATAATAAGGTCGTCGTGGTGGCCCGGAGGTTAAGGAGCCCTCTCTTCATTTCTAATTGTAAGTTTGAATTCGCCAACCCTCCTTGAGCAAGCGTGGTGATTAATGCTCTAACCAACTCCATATGAGAAGAGGCCTTTGCTCAGCACTGGGCACCTATAGGCTTATGATAATGATGATGATGATGATGAGGGTACATAAACAAAATTTGATTTTCAAAAAACGGCACACTGATGCACACATGAACAATTCGTATGATTAGACGTCAAAGTAGAATGGCATGATTCAATAATCTCGAGTGAAAAAGAGACAAATATGAAAAGGTGTGGCTAGTTAGCCACATGTTAATGTATCACTTGTTGTCGCTTATGACCTATCTATACCTTTATACTTATACTATCATTGTTTGCAACCGTGTAAAGTTACTGGAAACCCAATCCATCCCTTCCTCTATCCTCTTATAAAGCCTACAACGCACTCGTAACTCCCCTCATATTGTAAGTGTCAATCTACTATCAGGTAATCTTAATGATCGTTTGCAAAAAAATAGATTGGCGTATACTCACTGTCTACGCCAATCTGTACACATTACCCGCATATATGTTATTCCTTTTATAAAATGTGTTTCTTCGAAAAAAAACTCTTTTAAAGTAATTGCCATTGTTAATCGACTGTAAACTATAGGCTCCACTAACTACTTGTTATCATGTGGAGTAAACCATATCCGAATATAATTGTATCTACTACTAAAATATGATTTTGACGTTTTTACCTACTTAATAAAAGTGTTTTTGCAATTGCCTATACTATTACAATTCTTTATAGAGTTTTTTTAAACTGGAAATTATCGATAAAAGTATATGTGCCTGTCTGTTTGTCCTCATTAACAACCAAGTAAATTTTTACCCTTTGCATGTGGATATAATTAATTAGATGATTAGATGTGTGCATGACTTAATATTACAAAATTCTTCATCAACTAAAATGTTAATGGAAAGATATTTAATTAAAAAAATATTCGGTAAATCATTAAAATCATCTCGTTTGTATCGTTATAAGAAACTACTTTTTTTTTTGTTAATATTTACAAGTATTTCAACTGTCCGCTTTAATTAACAAACTGTATGATTAATTTTAACAAAGTTTCCCTTTATTCCACGGCAAAATAGAATCTTTTTTTATCTCTTTTGCCGTGGAACTCGAGTTTTTCAAAAACATTTATTTCTCGCATGATGTACATAGTCTCCGTCCACAGAATTTTTTATTAAAGTCACATACCCTTTCCCATATTCTATCTCTGTACAAAATTTTATCAAAACCAGTTCAGTGTTCTATATGGAAAAACATAATACTACTAACTTAAAGAGTAAAATTATAAATTTTAGAGAGGTCACTAAATTTCTGAGCGTTGTTTTAATTGGTATTAAATGCTTCGTTGGATCATTCAACAACACTCATTAGTTGAGCTGGTTGTATACTGACATATGTATGCCTGCCTTCAGAACGCGTCTACTCAACAGGTGTTTTTCTTTCGTCAAAAGACCACTAGGAGATGTATTGTCTAAACCTCAAAAAGATACTGTAACGTCTGGTTTCATTTTCGGTATTCGAAATTACATTTAGAACGAACTAATAGCTTCACTATAGGACAAACAGACAGACATGTTATGTTGTTTGACGATTAATAATGCTTCTTTAGTCTAACTGAAAGAAAGAATATTGGCTTTGACAATAGAGTTATTGACATAATACATACATACATCATTGTAAATGTTGTGTAAAATGTTAAGTTTTTCACTGTCTAGTAAACAGCTGTATCTAAAATTATATTTAAGGTGTTTTTAGAAATTCGAAACATTCTAAAAAAAATCGCGAGTTTTGATAAAGAACACTGACAGCTGTCAAATTAATTTAACGTCACAAAATCATGTGACATACAGCCTATCCAAATGATTTAATAATTCCGAAGCAGAATGCAGATTTTAAACCTATTTCTTTTTATTAAGAAATACTAATGACTAAAAATTTCTTTTTGTAACGTGCAGAATTAGTTTGTCAATAACTCTATTCCCATTGCTAGTAATTTGCTAAAAAAAATCCGTGTTACTGACAAATACTGACAATAACAAACAGGATGAAGATGGCGATTCGTACATGACGTCGCCGGATAGTCCGGGAGCCGCCGGCCTTAATAGATCGCACTCATCGCCTAATATAGCTAAGGTAACTAAAACATATTTAATTTTACGACACAAACAGACATTTTTTAATAAAATTCGACCTTTGTCTCGTAGTTAGTAAAATATAATTGATTTTCGACTTTAAAAAATGCAGTTGAATTTGTTCAATTGAAGCGCAAAACTGCTAATGAATATGGGCCCCTGTCGTGGCTAGAAACTTGTCGAGTTCACACTCGAATAATGAATTGGTGTACAGACAGAGATAGAAATCCAATGAGGGCTGTATTATTATTTTTTGCTATCAGCTGGCGCAATTATGGATCTCTCAACTTATCGTCCAATACGTAATTAGCTATTGTTCTTACCATTGGTTGCTTAATTCTTGACAGCTACAGTGATTGGACAAATTTAAATTAGCGCCATCTGATGAGCAAAAGAGAAAATAATAGCCTTATATCTCCGACCCTATTTCCTTAGCTTCATTCTATATGCATGATCAAAGCGTGGAATACCATTATATTGATTTTGTTTTTCATTTTTCTCCATTCTGAATGTTTTATTCTAATATATATTTAAGTCACCGTGTTTATTTTAATTAGGACCTTCAACTACCGAGGAATGGGATTAGATTTCCATGCTACGTGATACTGAAAATGTCTAAATATCATAAGCATAGGCTAAACAGGAATAGGCTACATAGCTTTAATAGCATGCCATATTACTATAAGACTATGGTCTATCTTGGCATGTCTTTTTGTCTAAAAGTTGTCTAAAAATCGTATGTGAAAATGTTTACAACCAGGTACCTAAAACTATGTTAGCTAATAAACTGAATTTGAATAATCATTGCATGTTTTTATGGAAGCTTTGTAACATAAAAAGATTTACCAAGACATAACAACTTTGTCATTACTTAAAAATGACTCTTATCGACATTCAGAAATTGCCCCGACTTTAATAATGGATAACATTGTTCTAAACTCTCCTGTCTCTTTCTTAGGTGTCCTCAGATGAGGAAGAGACTTGCGTACCAGCCTTCGATAGGAGCACGAAGCCTACTAAAGTGGCGCCCTCTAGCGACCTACATCAGAGAGACTTCCAACCTGTTTGGGGAGATGTGGTGAGTAATAGAGATTGTGTAATACTAAAGTAGAAAAATGTAGGCTTGACTAAAGTTCCATGTCTTACAAAAACCAACCTTATTGCACATAATTTAAGGATTACTGTCACATTATGGGAAAGTTATTAAAAACTCTTTTAAACTCTAACAATGATATGCCCAAAATACTACAAGGATGTGCTCGCAATTCCTCTGCGTTAAATTAAAATATGAGTTTGTAAAGTGTAAAGGTTCTTTACAAAATACATGAGATATACTTGCGGTACTTGGTTCTCAATCGAATTATCTCGAGGTAGTCAACGCTGATTTCTTAGTCGTGCAGTGCTATGGAAATATTCAAGTTTTCGAAAATTTTGAAAAACAGCACATACTGTTCAGTTAATGAGATGGCTGGACAAAACGAACCAACGACATAGGACGAAATGCTTGTGACAGGCAATATTTATTAAAAAAAAACGGTAATTGAGTTTTATTACAAAACTGTAATAAATCTTCAAGAAGTTCTCCCTGTTAGGGAGCCGGCTACGCGCCTGCAACTCTCTGAGTAAAAAATAAGTGTACTTCTATTTAACCTGTGGGACACACTTCTATTTAAAAAGTTTAGGCCAAGCTTCGGCACGAACGGGTCAGCTCGACCGGAGTGATACCACAGCCTTACAGAAAACCGGCAAGAAACAACCACAGCGTTGTGTTTCGCCGTGTGAGTGAGGTTATCGGAGGCCCAATCCCACTTCTGCCCAATTCTTTAATATCCGAAATCCTTGTCCCCAAAAGGCCAGTAACGCACTCCTAAAACCTTTGGTGTTGCGTATTGGCGGCGCCCGGCGCCGGTTGCTTACCATCAGGTAATTCGTCGGCTCGTTTACCGACCTTAGCGGTGAAAAAAACCGTACCCTTTTCTGTAAACAATGTTTTCATTATAGATAGGTTGCGCAGAACATTCTAGACGCATTTTGATACGCTAAGCCGCGAGTGCACGCACTAGATGAGTCATTACGACGTCACTGCAATACTAGTGCAGTACTGGTCGACTGCATACAGTAATACAACTCAAGTTATTCATTATAATATTGTTAGTTTACCTACTGTATTGCTAGTTGCGTTCCCTCGTTCATCTTACCCCAAACGAACGCCGGCGTTCGGTCATCTATTGTTCTTCTATTGTGTCTCGAATTACCACCTTTGAAATGTTAAATTTTCTTTGTGTATTGCGAATCTAAATAAATTATTACATTTCTAAGTTTTAGTCCTAATAGAAGTTTTAAAGAAATAAAAACAGCAACAAAATTTCTTTGGTCTCATGTTATAATAAAGTAATTACCGAAGCAGGAGAAGGAACGAGTTGGTTTTTAGTCAGTAAGACTCTGACACCCTCCCGCTCCACCCAGGGCGGGAGAAGAAATGTGATGATTCTTCACCCCTCAAAAAAAAAAAAATATCTTGTGTTTTGTTTCAAAAGAGTACATTACTTTTATACGCGTTCGAGCCGCGGACGGAAGCTAGGATAAACAAAAAATCTGTAAAAAATGTGTCAGTTTTATTATACAATTGGAAAGGACCTTCAAATCTTCAAGAAATGCGCATACACCTTCTTAGTTTTCTCGTCAGCTAAAGTATAACTACTTTTTCTAGGTTTATTGCTAAAATTGTTTTAATCTTAGCTTACTCACTTAAAGTAGGTGATTGGCAGTAAATTACTTCCCAATTAAATGGAATTGACAGCCATCTGTACCCTTTGAGCCCCTTTGAGCATTTCCTTGATTCACTGCATTGTATGCACTGTGACCGCAATGTAACGTGTGCGCGATGACGAGCGTGGCAGTCAAGGCGAGGAATCCCACCGCGTGCTAATCCCCACTAACTAGCAACAAACGTGCCCACATTACACGCTAATAAACATAACCACCACTTAAACAATTACTTAGCTACTCATTTACATTACAAGAAAAGTTTTTCAATATACTACACAATGGGATTTTCTTCTATATCGTGGTTGCATATAGAAATATGAAAAGGCATGTCAGACAAAGTTTAAAGTACAATTTTTAGACCACACAAATCATAGATTATGTCAAAAAAGCACAAATTTTTATTGACTATCTATGAATTTTGACGTTTTTAAATAGAAATACTGGCAACTGAACTTCCAGGTCTAATATCCGCATATCTTTAGGCGGCAATATTTCCTAAACGATATGATCTTTAAGTCTTCAAGAACCTGCCTGTGATTCCTCTGGTGGTGCAGGTGCCGATGGGCATCGCTGATCACTTACCACCAGGTGATAGGTCTGCTCGTTAGCCTCCTATTCCATAAAACAAATCTTAGAAATGTTTTTCCGATCGCCCCACTTGGGAAAAGTAAAAAAATCATGTGTTCCCACATGTTTCGGTTGAAAGTGAACCGCAGTAATGGCGAAATAAAACTAAGACATGTTACAGATTGTTAATAAAGTTTAATTAGGAATATGAATAAAAACTCTTGTGTCTCTATAAATATGTTCTTAAGAATCATAAGCGTATTTGACTTTTAAAGAGAAAACTCAGAACGTGTCACAACTAATTTATACTCAAACAAAATAATCAAACAAAGCTCCCAATCAAAAAAGTGACAAGCCAATCCATATGCCGATTGTCAGCTAATAAATCCTCTATAATCACAGTCTCAGCTACTAAATCCCTATAAAAAACCGAATTGATGATTTTCACACCTTACACACAACGAAGTCACATTACAAATCACAAAGTCACAGAACACGTCGGTACAAACGTGACATTACTAGTGTAATCTGCCGAAATGCGAGGCGTCACATGGGCGATCGCGTGGTACCAAGTAACTGTAGCTATGGCTTCTGAACCTCTCTAAATATTTGTAAGATTACACCCAGCCATGCTCACATGTTCTTTAAGCCTGTAATTATCGGATATTCAGCTTATAATAATGCCTCGCGATGTGGGTAAGCTTCGGTTTTTTTGCAAATTGACAATTATTGCTACGGAGCGTTGTCATAAGTTTGTCCCGTCACTGTTACATCATCATCATCATCATCATCATCATCATCATCATCATCATCATCAGCCTATAAGTGCCCACTGCTGAGCAAAGGCCTCTTCTAACACGGAGAAGGGTTAAGCATTAATCACCACGCTTGCTCAAGGCTGGCGATTTCAAACCTTCAATCAGAAATTATAGGTCTAGGTTTCCTCGATAAGTTTTCCCCAGTTGTCAATGGTGTCTAAATAATTATAGGAAGTACATATAACTTGCAAATTGTCATGTTGGTACTTGCCAGGTTTCGAACCTTCATGCATGATAAGCGCGTTGCAAAGGACTCATAATTACCAAAAAAATCTAATTTAGATTTGATACTTTCTACTTCTGCGCTTTAAATAATAAAACTTCAAACCAGTCTGAAAATTATGCCTTAATCACACAATGCGTTGGGCATCCGAAACAATACCGTGTTACTGGATTTTTTCAAATATTTAATTTAACATTTATTTCTGCCAATTCAGTCTGAAATATATCCCTCATAGCGCTTATGCCTTCAGGGTGAAGTTAGTTTTAACAACATTGCAGTCATAGTTTTTTAGTACGAATACTATATAATTTATTAATGTATAAACGTATCAAACTCCAAGCTTACACGTGCACTGCATTATATATTTACTTATTTCTCACTTTAAAAAAAGCTCAACTATAACCTTTCAAGCTACGCTAATAAAACATTCCATTAAGATGCTTCAAAATAGAAATTATTAATTAGTGTGTACTGTTTTGCTTTACAACCTGATAAAAGAGAGGAGAAGATGGAACCAGGCAATCTGGAGGTCATTAGGGAAGGCTTATTTAGCATTGGACGTCTTGTTAAACCGGTGATGTTGCTTTATCACAGGAATATCACGCGTTAACCTCTGCCTGTACTTTAGGAGTTTAAAGCATGACGTTATGTAACCGATTCCGAAGTTAAATAACTTGGAACTGGCGAATATGATCCTAATAATATTAGAACTGCCAAAGTTGGTTAGTGTGAATGGATTATTTATTATTTATGCATAACACACATACAGTAAATATATGAAAACAAATACAGAAACTATACTGTGATGGATGTGTGTCTACTACCTAAAACTACTGTATTGATTTTCATGAAACTAACACAAAAGTATAGTCTGGACTAACGCATAGGCTACTTTTTCTTTGAGTAAAACGTGCTATGTCAGACGCTAGTATGAAAATATGAAAATATGTTAATTTATATCAGACTGAATTACTCAAATTCAAATCATTTATTTCAAGTAGATCACTTTGGGCAGTTTTGAACGTCAAACAGAAAAAATATTGTCTTACAGTTCAATTTTGTGTGTCAGTCTGTCGGTCTGTCCTCTAATGAAGCTATTTGCTCGTTAGAAATAAAAATAAAAAGTAGTCCTACGGACTACTCTGTACTGGATTCATCATCTTCCTGACCTTGTCCCGTTTTATTTGGGGTCGGCGCAATATGTTTTTTTACTCTGTACTGGATTACTGAATCTCAATTCGATAAATGAATCTACCCGGCCATTCCCTGGGTAAAACAATAAATTTCAGTTGAAATTATTAATGTTCAGCCGGCCACCGCAACGTGTATGCGATTTAAATAATAGTAGGGTCGGCCTCGACTGTCAGGTATTGCTTTATTATATTATTAACTGCGGAATGAGCCAGTTAAAATAAACTATAGGTCAAAGTTACACTTACAAGTTACTTTTTAAATGTCAAGGTCGAAATTTTCTTTACACTGATTTTTCCTCGTAAGTGGATATAGATTTGTAGGACACGTGTATTTAATTTCACACCTTAATGCTACATATATGTGTATATATTGTAAATCTGTATAATATTCTAAATTCAAATGGTGTGTCCATTTCACGGGTCCATTCCATAAACTGGAAGTATTAGAATAAAACACGTATTTGGCTGTACTATTTCTTCTGCATATTAAATAAAGTCAGAATTTAGTATAAAATAAAATACCGTTTGACTTAATACGGTAGTCATCAACAAAGAAATGTCCAAAAAGATATTTTTTTAAGATCATTAATGGTAGATCAAAACCTATGATGGATGAATTTTAAGGATTTAAGTATGTTATTTCATGTAAAGTACTATGATACCTACTATCATAGTATTTTAAGTAAGTATGTCATTTGTATAGTTAAGTATGTTATTTGATGTAAAATACTATGATACGTCATAGTATAGTATTTTAAATCCTTAAAAATCATAGTTGCATTATTTTACTGCATTTATAGTTTTCAACTAGAAATAATATATTTTTGATTGAAGGAACTTCCTAATTCTCTATACTGAAAGGTTGGACATTCACTATCGTTTCGTAGCCAACCGACCGTCGCTAATGCATCGCGTGCTCCTCACTCAGGTTCATGTGACGACAGCAACGTATGGACGTAAGATATAATCCGGCGACCGAAGCCCACGTGCGCGCGATCCCTATACACTAAACAACTACTAACATTATGAACAATATTTATAATGTTAATCGATATTTTCGTATGGATCTAATTCAACGATATTTGGAGGGGGATCATTAAATCACTTCTTCTATCCTGGGTGTGGCAAGAGAGAGTGTCCTATTCTTGCTGACAATATACTTCCCCGTTCCTTCTCCTGTTCCAAGCCGAAGTCTCTGTATTGGACCTCATTTTTGGTGGTCTCTTTTAAACTCCAAGGTGATACTAATTATTACAACCACCTTCATAAAAGGCTTTCGTCGCCAACTGTGGGTGTGTATATTACTCTTACTCAAGAATCAATTACTTTTTCTTTTCACCAATACGATTAAAAGCTATTGAAATACCTTGAAATAATCTATTGAGAAGTTTTTACCCAGGAAGTGGTAGTAGCCAGGGGTAACTTTTTTTTATAATTTTATGTTCCTTCTAATTTAATTTAGACACAACTGACAAGGGTGAAAAACATCTTGATGATTTCGAGTTACAAGTTTGAAGTCGTCAGGCGCCTTTAGGAAGAGTGGTGATTATTGCTCAAACCTTTTCCATGTGAAAAGAGCAACTACCACAACAACACAAATTTTATTGATGAAAAGTAGGATTGATAAACCAATATGACTCTGTCGAACTCTGTAAACAGAACCCAAGGTCCTTGGCTCGCAATTATGTCTTGACCGAAGTGGGCAGTCTTTCTAATGATCAAATTTAAAACTCCAATAAAATTGACAAATTCAATGAAATTTATATTATTTTATCTGTCTGACATGATTTAATCAAAGCTTTTCTGTATGCGATATGCGTACATAGATTTTTCTCCATAAAATAACTTTACTAGACTACTACGTATGGATTTCATCTCATAGACGTGATGTATAGACGAAAACTTTCCAAAAAAGTAATGTAAACGGTAACCCCGTGCACACAACACACATCAATCATGCGAACGATTGTTAACCAAACAATGTGTACGCTCCCTTTCTTAAGCTCACGGCACGAAATATCAAAATACTAGCTTTTTCCCGCCGTCTCAGTTTCTACAAAATTGAATTTTCCCAACGAACACACTCTTTTTTTTGCTTAGGAGAAAATATTATGGAAAAATTTGCTCGTTGTCAGTTTTTCTCATAAATATTAAAATGAAGAAAAACTGAATTATTAAGAAAAAAAGACTTTTTTTCATTTGAGATGTAACTCTGTATCTATTTATATATCTTTAGGTTCTAATTTTATTATAAATTCATAAATGTTAACAATTCTATTCTACATGAGACCAAGTTGGAGACTTCATACATTCCTACAAGGTATCTACGACATTACTAGTGCGAAACACACCTACAAATATTAGTAAAACAATAACGTACTAACAACACATACATATAGCAAGTAGGTACTCATAGACAAATGGCAGCCTCGCTACCCCTCGTTAGTGGTGGCAGGGCACGTGAACTCAGTTGCAACCCGACCGCCGACAGGAACGCGCGCGCTCACCGCACCGTGTTTACAAACAAATAAACGAAAATATAAAACATTTATTAAAACAATATTTTCCCTAGTGTCGGTAATGCTACCAACAATTCTATCGACGTTATTCATGTTCTATTTATTAGTATTACTTATCCTAGTATTCCCCCTGTCTAGGTATACTAAATCTAGTCTTTTGTTGGGAAATGACAATTGAATTTTATTTTATCAACTAAAGTTCAACGACATTTTAAACTAAGGAAATATACACCAAGAAGTGTTTTGTGATCGCATTGTGTTTTTTGAGTTGACAAGTACATTTTTTCCTGAAGAAAAGTAACTTTTTGATGTCATGGAGAGAACAACGGGTGTTTGAGCGAAGCTTTATTAACGTCACGAAGAGTTTGAAACTGAAAAACCATACCTACAGTGTAAAAGTATAGTGAAAATTATTACAACGACTTGATAAGTTGTGCCAGAAAAACATCCAAGTAAACAACAACAATATAAAACCTATACTTTTTACACAATAAGTTTTTGTCCAAATATCGACGAAGAGTGAACTTTTTAAAATATTTACCGCGTTCATTGTATTAATTAATATCGCGTAAAGAGCTGACTGCGATTGCGGTCACCCAGTGCAGGACTCTATTCAAGATACTCCGCTACGAACGGCGATGCATACCGCTAGACACCGCGAATATGGTGCTGAAAGTCAAAGTCCGCCTTAAGTATTCACAGAACCACATCGTCTGGCTTTTCAAACGTGTAAGTTATGTAAATAGCCCTTTTATTAAACTTAGAACTAGGTTTTGCCTAAAGAAAATCTGAGGCTTAATTGTTTGGGATCTTTAACTGTATAGATTTGTATGATCATGTGATTAATTGTTTTAATGATTAAGATTAGGGCAATAATAGGATTATTGCCCTAATCTTAATATACTTAAGAGTTTTTTTTTTTTAGTTAAGATAAGTTTTTTATTTCCATGACATTTTTTTTACATTTTAGGCAATTTTGCAGTTCAATTACGAAATATAAAAAATATTGATCAGTTTTCTAGTGAAGCTAATTGCTCGTTCCTCCAAAGTGAAGATTTCTATGGAGAAGAACTTATAACAGATAATGTAAATACTGCTAATGGCATAATAAAATATGATTCATAAAGTGCTGAGTGCATTATTGCGTGAGTTTTTCACAAAATTCCCACATGTACTTAGTTAAAAACTTATAAAATTTAATGAAACTTATAAACCGGGGAAATCCCTTAGCATTCATAATAGCGAATATTCATAATAGGTATAAGGTATACGGACAAACAAAAACAAACAAGAAACTGCAGCGACCCCAGTAAAATATTCAGCGACTTAATGCAATTAACCTGTCACGTCCGTAGGGGGTAGACCCCACCCCTTGTAAATTAAAATAAACACTTGCACGGCGCTGGTTCGCCGTGAACTTGACCTTGGAACTCGACCTGCGACCTTACAGCGTGATAACCATCGGCCGGCGCTGGTCGCAAATGTACCTTTATTTATATTTTATACAAGGGTTGGTTTCAGACTTATAGTAATTGTTTTTGATACAACTATTCTAACAGAACACTATTCGTAGTTATATTATGTACGGGTTTGCTGCAGTTTTTACGTTTTTCAAGAGTTGTTTTATGAGCTTTCTTTCACATTGCAATAAGGGTGGTTTTTGTTCAAATTAATTCATATCAACTTTTAATGATTTGCTTTTTATTTTTTTTTCGATGGAAAGTTATAGACTAAGTCAAGCATTTAGTTTTCTTGCCTTAAGTAGTTACTTAGTTTCTAAGGCCTGTTTTGAGGATCCTGTAAATAAATTTAAAGAATTACAGAGTTTAAAATAAATTTGTAATCATTATACAACGAAGAACTAGTCCGTTTGCTTCAAGACCTTTAAGAAACAATCGTTAAAGGTGCAGCTTAGTCGATCTATAATAACTCTTAATTTTCATACTAGCCATGAATTCTGCCACTCAACCTGGCTAAGCAAACGTACCACAAGTTTACCTAAGTATGGTCTTCATTCACCATCCCTAATTACACGTAGAGCGGCTGATCCAACATTACTTTATGTCCAGGGTCGAGGGCTAACAGGACTAAAGAACCTGGGCAACACGTGCTACATGAACTCCATCATCCAGTGCCTCAACAACACCGCCATACTCGTCACCTACTTCTGCAACGGACAGTATTTGGAACATGTCAACAGGTAGGTTGCCCCTTACACTTGATAGGCTTCTTCTAGTATGATTTATCACCGTAAGCTCGAGTTACTTTGATCCAAACCCCTTACCAATGGGTATACGTTTGGTGCTAGGTTATTATTGTATAATGGGTTTGGACCAAAGTTACTCCCCAGAGTCAAAGTAAGCCATATTTACAATATCCGATTCTTTAGAAGGTAAAGATTAGTTTTACTGGACTTCATAAATCATACTGATGTATTTGTTAATCAAATTCACTGCACGGTCGGTGCAGTGCTTATTCGATTCCCTCTCGGAACAACACCTTGTTTTATCAACATTTTCGTAACATCCTGAATGATGAAATGCCAGAAACTATTTTCCATAACCAAGTCAGATGTAAACGAAAATGTTCAGTTATTTATTATATATTAGCATTTAGTGGATGGTGACTGATCTGAGTACAACATCATCCTCAAAAAATCTTTAATTGACTCACTATTATCTGTTTCTAATATATTATGATCCTGAAACTATTGAAAATGTTATTTGAAATCATTAATAATTAGTTACTCGATACTTTATTGCGCTCCGTAATGTTGCGGTCTTATAAATAAAAATATCGCAGAATCACACTCAACTGCTATTCTATATTTGATGTTAAGACATGGTACGTTGGCACAGGTCCCACAGCACTCGCGGCGCGATAGCAGAGGAGCTGGCGGCGGTGGTGCGCGCGCTGTGGTCCGGCCAGTACCGGTTCATTGCCACCAGGGACCTACGGGTACGTATACACGCAAAGCTATCGAAAGCTATTCTTTCGTCAATCGTTCTGGCAATCGGATTCTATATAGCCGTTCGTTCACTTAACGGTCTCACTCCGGAATAGGACATTGGCTTCTTTTTATCAACATACCACGCGGGCGGAAGCTAGTATTGAAATAATTTTGACGTTGTGTTCTCCAGAACGAGGTGGGCAAGCACCAGCGCGCGTTCCGTGGGTGCGAACAACAGGACTCGCACGAGTTCCTCACCATCCTCATGGACTGGCTGCACCTCGACCTGCAGTTCTCCATCAACGTGCCCCAACACAAGGTCAGTCTACACACTACACCTTACAGGGAAACTATGAATCTGACCAGTCACAGAATTGCTGATGGACTATACGCCTATCAGACGACATTTTTACTTTTACTCGCTTGTACAATTGATTGGAAATAGTAGTTTGTATGTCAACTGCCTGTCTGATTATTATCACCTAATCACCCTTAATAAATTATTTTAATATTGCAAAGCTCAGAGTTGAGACCATTCATTGAGGAAAGCTATTACGGGTTATAAAATATCACGCTACGACCTGTAGCAACCGAACTGCGCAGGGTACCAATGATAATATGTAAAGGATTCTTTTACAACATCCGCGGTCAAAACAGACGACAAATAAATGATATGCCTTCAAAAATATTCTTTGAAATACATTATTAACGCTCAGTTTTGATTGCACTATTAGTCCGGTGGCTGGACAACCAGTTTTAGTGTTGAGTCCGCGGGTTAGCGATTCCCACAAGCAGTTGTTCCGAGTATGATGCACCTACGACACAGGAGAAAATCCTAATGCGGGTCAACGTTTATCGTCGTCTTTAAATTGCGCGCAACCGCAACAGACAAGAAACTTGTATTTGAAAACGTAAAACTAACATGTGTATAACTGTGTTTAATCCCAACACAAGTACAAATTTGTAATTTACTGAGAATGTCTCCAGTGTGTTGTATAAAAACAATGTTTGATATGAATAAAAAGATTTATTCTTATAACTGTTATAGGAGAACCTACCCCCGTCAGAGAAGGCGTGGCACGAGTACACGAAGTCGAAAGAGAGTCTGATCCTGCGACTGTTCTACGGGCAAATAAAGTCGACAGTCCGCTGCACCGTCTGCGGCAAGCAGAGCGTCACTTACGAGTCGTTCTCCAACCTCTCGCTGGAACTGCCGGCCAACGCCAACCGCTGCTCACTCAGTGTAACTACTCCCTCACTCTCTTACCTACCTATTTAGGATACTCACTGATATTCTATTCTTCTCGGTCCTTTCCTTCTATATCTCTGGGATCAGTTGGAACCAAATTGATTGAATGATGATACTTTATCTGTGTTTATTTTCGGACATATATATTATGTACCTTCATATTTTAAAATACTAAATATTTTTTTTCTTTCATTACATATCTCTATTTGCCTTTTACATTGTCATTAATAAAGGGATTTCAGAAGATTATTACAGAATAAACTTGCATGGTTTTCTTGCTTTAACTATATGTTTCGTTGCTTTTAAGAATAACAATAATTATATAAGGAAGTAAAATTCCATAATTTCCTCCACAGGATTGCCTTAACCTATACCTGAACGGCGAGACGATACCAGGCTGGAACTGTCCAAATTGTAAAGAGAAGCGAGACGCTCTAAAGAAGCTGGACATATCTCGGTTACCGCCAGTGCTAGTGATCCACTTCAAGCGGTTCTACGTGGACCCGAAAGAGTACATGAGCAACGCGTACCGCAAGAAGCAGACCTACATAGACTTCCCGCTCGAGGACCTCGACATGCGCCAGTTCGCCCACTGCAGCAGTCCGCACGCGTACAACCTGTACGCCGTCTCCAACCACTACGGGTCCATGGAGGGGGGGCACTACACTGCCTACTGCAAGAGCAGTGTCTACGGCAAGTGAGTGACTATTTTCTGTAAATTTTCTCTAAAAAGCTCTTGATTTCTTTAAATATATAAGTTGTTTGGAATTAAGCGATATACGACTATCATTTGAGTAGATCGCTAGCACGATCAAAGAGTTTATGACGTGCGACGTTCTGATTGGTCTGCTGCAACTGAACCAACCAATCAGAGGGATAAATGCGGTTATGTTTCGAAGCATTTAAAATATAGATACAGAATTCCTTGTATGTTTATTGAACGACTTGCTTACGTGAATTAATTGAGACAAGCAAAGCTCTACAAGTTTCAAGTCACAACGGGACTCTTATACATGAGCAGCGTCACATTGTCAGTGCTGTTATAACTTGAATCAGTAAGAGCTTTTCTCATTAATAAGTCTTTATTTTCATTAAAGTTAGTACGTCGCAAGATAGTAACTATTCAAAAAATTAATTGTATGGATGCTCTATAAGAATCGTGACATTCCAGATGGTACAAGTACGACGACCACGTGGTGACGGAGATCCCGTCGAGCGAGGTGAAGTCGAGCGCGGCGTACATCCTGTTCTACAGCACGCGCGCCTCGTGATCCGCGCCCCGCCACAAGCGCAAGCACCCCCACGCCGCGCCCCCCGCGCCCCCGCACGCGCCCCCGCGCCGCGCTCGTGGCGCGCCCCCTGCGCCCGAGACAGCCACGCGACAGTAGCCACCGACGCGCTACTCACATAAAAGACATTGGGACTCTTACATTAACGACGATGCAACGATTCAGTCAGAATCCACTGCAAGCGGACACCAAGTCTCTCACTCATTATACGTTTTTATTCTTCTTTCGTTTGCATAGCGCGTAATTCACTCAAGTATGGTTGATAGAGTATTTTTTTACAATACGAAACTCGTTTACAGTGGATTCTTACTTAGCGATCCTCTAGGAAGTATTTATATATTTATTTAAATATTTAATCTACAATAAAAAATTTACAATTAACCTTAAAATGTTAGTTGAAGATATCAATTCTGTGAATACTAGACTTTATTTATTCACAGGATTGGGACCTTTTCATGAATATGTATGCAATATATCACATGGTTTTTATGAAAAACCACAAAATAATCTGTTTTAATAACTCCGAGAAGATAATTCAGAACAGCATTTGTAGTCGGTATATGCAATGCGATTGATTCGGAGGTAGCGAGATAGACCCAAGGTAAGTGAACGTTATGTACCGTACTGTGAACCATATGTCCATCTCACTCTTGCACTTATAAAAAAAAGTATGCGAGTGAGATAGATGTAAAGTACGCTACGTAACTTATATTTATCTCGAACTAAAGCTTATAGTTGTAAAATAATTGATGTATAAACTAGCCTTGTACAAATAGCTTTCCATGTTACGACGACATAGAGTTAATATTTCATTAATTTATTGTAATATTTATAGTTTCTTTTATGTTAATGTTGCAGTTTTATGATTTTACTATTTTTCAACTTCTTCTATAAAGCGACCAAGTCGCTTTACAGTGTCTTCTCTATTTATCTTCCTTTCGTCTTTTCAAGTTACAGAAGTGTCAATATATCTTGATCGGTCTGAAGTTTGTAGTGAGACAAGAATGTATTTGTAGCTAATTTCAGTTCGATCAGGTTATATTGTCGTATCTGTAATCAAGGACTGCAACATATGATGCGGCGCACGTACCTTGTACAGTCTCACGCCAGGCAGGGAGCCACGACTAGTGTAGCGGACGACTGTACATGTGGATACTGACATTGAAATGTCAATAGAGTGAATGATATTCGTGAATGAACTTAATGTTTATGAATGAAAGACTGAAAATGATTGGTATTGTACCTAGATGTATTCCATGTTTGTATTGCACATTGTGACATGATCACTTTATCATTTTAACTGGTGACTTAGCAATTTGGAAACTCAAGTCAATATGGACATTTTATATACATTATATAGCGTTTCTATGTACATATATCTAATACAAGGACGAGACAGCTGTCGAATTTACGCCAATTTAATTATTAAGACAATCTATTACTGACACTATGATGATCTCATGCGGAAGGGCCAATGTTGTAGCATCCGATGCGTACTTTGCTATTTATAACTTTCAATACGGCATTGGATCATCTTATGGATAAAGTAATTTGGTATAAAGTTAAACATTTAAACAGTCAATATAATAAGCTCTGCCTACCCTTCAAATACAGAGTACTAATAAATAGAGAGAAATAAATTATGTACTCTTATTGAATATGTTTGTAACTACTCGAATTTACTCTGATTTATTTTCGCTAATTCACCAGATTTTACAGCCAGTGTACGCATTATGCATGAATTTTATATTACATCACGATAGGGATGATGACAGGGTATGCTAATTAATCATTAGATGATGAAGCGTTTTGTCTTGAGAAACTATAGAAAAGCTTGAAAGGTTAAAATGAAAATACAATGTAATTGAGGCATGACATCGTAAGATGATTCTAATCAATATTATCATTGAGTTTTGTTACATAAAAGAGAAAAGAAGAGAATTATCTACTTACTCATCATCTCTATACCAGATACCAGTAGATCTTACAGGAATTTTCATATATTTTGCTCCATAAGAAATGTAGTGGTTTCTTAACAGGACAGAAAGAATAAAAGATACTCTTTTGAGAATGTCGTGAACAGTCTATTAACAGAGTATAAGTTATGTAAAAACTGTTCTTCAGTTTACGATCTCATAATGTGTACACGCATAATTTGATTAATCAGCAGTTTGCTGTTTAAAATTCTTCCTTATCTCGGACATGTGCCATTTGCAATGATTTCGATAAAGCATTACGATTTGGTCTCGAAAAACAATTTTTGTAATAACTGTTGTATGGACATTTGTATATAGCATACATTAATGGTTTATTGTATGTAAAATATATGTAAGACAAACTTTATTAAATTCTTTGTTAATATATGCTATTTCTTTTTATTTATCCTTTTTCCATGCAGTGAATTTTTTTATATGGAATTGGTCAACAAACAAGGAACAAGTATAACCTGATGGCAAGCAATCGGGGCGCCCATGGAAACCCCTCAACAACAAAGTGGTTACGAGTGCGTTGCCGGCCTTTTAGGGCTTAAGGTTTCGAATAATTAAGAATCGGGGAGGGGAAGTATTAGCCCTCTGGTAACCTCATTCATACGGCGAAATAACGCTGTGGTTGTTTCACGCCAGTTTTCTGTGAGGCCGCGGTATCAATTTGGTTGAGACAAACCATTGTGCCAAAGATTGGCTTACGTCTTCCACATTCAAAATTGTTTTTTTGAAATAATACCATTATCAACATTTTTAACATTTGTAATTACTTACTTTAGTATCACAATATTTACAATTAAATACTTTTTACTTAATTATTTTATTTCATAAACAAGGTAATTGTGGTCTCACCTTCGTAACATATGTTTTTCAGCTGTAATAAGCAATCTGCAGCCCAATCTTGTTGTGGGTATCAAGATCATTGACCTGGTATTCTATGCGACCTTTGCTAGCAGTCATCATTGTTTTGATTGCATCAACATGTTCATTTCTATTAAATAGTTCTCCATATCCTCATCATCCTCTAAGCCATTTTCCATATCTTCTTCATCTTCTTCCATATCCGACCTGTTCATATTCCTATTGGCTGGAAGTATAACAAAGTTACATTAAATTTAATTGTTGGTACTCATAAATATGGAACAAATCACAAGAAAATCATATAATATGTTAAATTAATTACAAATATCCAACACATTCTGTGATTAATAAGAGCATACAATAACAACAACTGGATGAATTTTACCAATATTTTTTTGTTGTACTGTTAGGAGAAAGTTCCTATCAAAGATTTAAAAAAAGTAGTGGGTAAGCGAATTTTTATAGTCCACCATAGTTGAATGCTTCTACAAAGGGGATGGCAAATGTAGTTTGAAATAAAAAATGAAGAGTACTCATTTAAAATCAGACAACTAGTATTAAATAATTTGTCATGATTACACTTACCAAAAACAGAGTCTGTCACAGACAAATTAAGTTTTTCAGTGTTGCAAATATCATCATCAATATTGCTGAGTGGTACTTCAAACTGAGATGAAGATGTTATAGGGACACTTGGTTCTTCTGGTGGAGATGGCACTAGAGACATGGAAGGTCCAGGTTGACCAGCCTCATTACTATTACCTATTGAAGTATCATTATTTGGTGCTGTAGTACTATTTGCACTCAGTGGTGTAGCGGTAACACCAGTTTGTAACATGGCAACATTAGTTGATATTGTAGCAACATTACTTGGCGCTGATAATCTATTCTTTAGTTCCTCATTCAAAACAGATGCTCTTAAATTTTCTAAATGTAGTTTTTCAATCTGAAATATGATAAAATTATATACTTAGCTATAATAGATTTCCACTCTTAAGTTATTTTTAAGTTCAACCAATGTTTAATAATGTCAATAACACCATTTTTACCCATGATAAGAATACTTTTAAAATACACAAACGTATCCATATAAGATATCTCAGTCAACAACAATGTTTGTCAGATAAACCTAATTAATTTATCACTTATCATAAATATAATTATGAATAGTTGGATTGATATTTAATAAAGAAAATAATTACTTTAACTTTTTTACAAACCTGTAAACCATTTCTTTGCTGTTTGAGTTTTCTCAGTGCGTCTATAATCCATTTTTCTTCCTCTAGAAGTTGTGCTTCCTCCGCTATTTTTTGACTTAAGCGCGAACTTATTCTGTGCATATTGATTCTATAGAATACGCAGCCTATATGGATTTATATTCTCGTGTTATTTACTCACAAAAACAGGGCAACGGCAAGTCAAGTAGCACATCTACAATGTTTGTTATGATTATGAATATTTTGATAATTTTGAGTTTTCTAACGAGCTACAGTGACAGATGTTAATCTGTCACTGTAGTATATCATCATTTATCAGTTCAGTAATGAACTGACATGACACAATTGATATATGCGACATAGATGATGACAGAGTACCATAAAAAATAATAAAACTAATGTTATATTTTACTTCCTATGGGTATTGCTGTTATAAATAATTTTTTAAGACATCTCTAATAAAAATAAATTGCTTTACCGTTACTGATAGCGCACCAAAAAGAAATAAGAATAGAGAACAATAAACAATATAAATGTTCCGCTTTAGTCTGTCTGTGGTCGAAAAATTCCTCAAATACCGTCATTGAGCGAATTTATTAATTTTTATTTTGTACTAATTTGAAGTCAAGTCATCTCATACAAAAATCGCGATCATTGTGGTCCGTCTTGTTGGTTTGTCTGCGTTATATTCGGGTCTCTCAAAAAAAGTTGCTTAAGTATCCGAAGCTATTAATAGAATAGAAAACGATGGCTTACTATTCAGATTCAGAATCCGACAACGAGTATGAGCAGGTCTGTACTCGAGGAGGGTGCTGCGGTAGCGAAGGTGCCGCTTTGCCTTTTGACTCTGCATCTATCGAAAATGTGATATTGTCAATAAGCGACAGCTTTGATTTCCGCGTCATTTTGAGCGATGAGAGAACTAAAGGAGCAATCCTTGTGACCACTGGGTTGGCTTTAGCTGGAGGGTTAATCGGGCGCCATTATGGTGGGAGAATTGGAGCCGCTGTTGGTGGAGCTGTTGGCGGCGCATGCGGTCTTGGAATAGTCGGTAAGTCATCTTTATATTTTTTTTTTAATGTGATATTTAAAGGCGTCAGCTAGTTTAAGAAAAGAAAAAACAGCAATGATAAGAAATGCGCATCAAACAGACATAATTATCTACCAACCATGCTTTAAAAATATCTTGTTTATTTACTATTTAAATCAACATATTATATGTATGGTGTTTCAAAGTTTTGGCATAGTTCCAATATTGCCAGTCACCAAATATAATATTATATCTTGATTATATCGAACTATTTAGTAGGTACTAATTTCCAACACTCGTCTCACGTCTTTAGTACAATACTAACATTATAATGACGTATCAGCTACCTGACTTGACTCCGAAAATAAACTCGTTTTCTGACTTCAGAAACAATCTAACAAATGTGAAAAAGATCTCTCAAGAATTTTTGTCTAGCAAAAACTTTTTCGACTTTTCAATCTACCTTCTTAAAAATAAAAAAAAATATTGTTCCAGCTGTTTCCATGAGAAGTATTTGGCAAGATATTAAGGAAAAGCTCTCAGATCTGTTTGAAATGGTTTATGACTACTTGGCTGGGTTGGGCTTGGACGACTACAAGCGTGCTGCAATGTTCCTTACGCAGCAAGGTGATAAGACACAGCTGGCTATGCTCATACTAGAAACAACATCAAGTATACTTGGAAAGAAGATTCTGTCGAGCATCACTGCTGCGTAATAAATACCAGTAATAGTTATACATATATAAAAAAAATATGACATTAGATGTAGAAAAAAATAAACTTAAATCAAATTATTGTTCATTCAATGAAGACAGAGTATTTATATGAAATGTTGACTATTCTTAATTACTGTATGACATTTTAATAATTGTGACTGATTTTTTAATTATTTTTTCATGTTGATCATGAGAAATGTGTAGCTCAAATTTTTATAATAAAATATTTATAGTGTATTTTAACAATAGTGAAATCTGGAGATTGTAACTAAACCATTTCCAGTTAATCTTTGTGAGATTTTAAGAAATGTAGTACTATTTATAAGTTATGAAATGTGGTAAATATCTTGTAAAATACTTTTAATAATGTTTCTGGTCAATAACAGTAGCATAATATTAATATGTATAATTAGGTTTAATTTAGTTGTAGTTTTAGTACTTAATTTAATTTTGTCCATATCTCCTAATTATTATTATAATGTATTGTAAAATGTAAATGTATAGTAAGTAGTAGGCAGGTATTGTTTTAATAAAGAAATGAAAAGAAAATGCATGAATAAATCAATAAATTATTTTAAATTTTACAACAACAGTTATTTATTTAGTACATTACATTAAGTAAATAAAATATAGAACTACCTTATCAGACAATTCTTTACGTAAAAAATCATCGTACGTATCGTGTGATAGGTCGGCAAATGACCAGCCGGATAATCTGGTTGTAAAAAAATTGCACCGCCCGCCCACGCCTAGACACTTGCAACACCAGAGAAATAACAAATGCGTTACCGGCCTTTTTGGTTTTTGAATTTTAAAGATTTGACCTTTATTAACCTCACTCACACGACGAAACAACATTGGTTGTTTCACGTAGTTTTTCTATGAGGCCGTGGTATCACCCCAGTCGAGCCCAACCATTTGCGCCAGAGCATGACTCTTCTACACATTTACGCTATCTTCCATAGATTATACATACAATATGGTTTTTTTTTAAGGGAAACATCACCAAATGTCTTCTCTCGACCAAGCCGGGATAGCCATGGCCTCCCGATCCGGGACTCTTACTGACTGAATACCCCCATTCCTTCTCCTGCTCTGGGCTGAGGCCTTAGTGCCTCATTGCGTTCTTTATTAGTGATCGATGCTCATTGCGTACTACCTATTCTATCTTTCTTTTTATATGTCTTTCTTTCCATAACTTTTTGTCGTTCAAACTTCTCAGTCTTACTACTCATAACATAAGGCTGTATCGTCATATCTGGATAGCCTCTATCTTCAAAATAAAAAATAAACAATCTATCAACCACATTACAGGGTAGGGACATAGGATATGGGTAACTATATAGTGAAATGTTGACGCGGTCGGCAACCTGCTGCAGCGCATTCATTGGGTTCGATTCCCGCATCAAACTGTGTGATCTAATTTATAATCGAGGTGGGGTGTATCATGTGCGTGAAAAATTTTATGTTTAAAATGCACCAACAACACAGTAAAAAATTATAGGGTAAGTGGGTAATATTATTCTAAAAAAGAAATAAGTTGTAGGAACTTGAATAAAGGAAGAAATCTAAATCAATATGTATTTTGTCCTATTTCTGGTGCTTTATCAAAGTTCTTTTTAAACATTCCGGTCATCTACCCACGATACGCCTAGAATATCACTGATCATGAATAATAATTGTGCACTAATACTTTTTTCTCAAGATAAAACTAATTAACCTACTAAATTGCCGATAAAAATTTAGATACCTATCGATAAGTAGAAAAGAAAGAAAGAAAAACCATTTATTTTCTTTATTTATAAGTGGACGTAAGTGGGATAAATCTTTTTGATAGGCCAAGTGCGATTATAATTTTGCTTTTAAACGACTGTTGCTGTAATTGATCGTGACAGTATCATACCAAAAATAATATTTACGTGAAACTCACAAGGGGATTCTCATCAAAATGCAATAAGATAAAAAAAACGGGACATTCCCCGTTTGTGAAATTAGATATTTAAATCGGTATATTTCGATAAATATAATTTATTTATTTTCTGCAGTAGAATTGGCAGGTGGCAGTTGCGGAGAACGCCTTTATCATCACGATTCTTATTATACAAGATTAGCGATCCAAGAGTCAATTATGTGCAAGTGGTAGCGAGAACGGAACGCTGACATATTAATGTTTACGTCAAAACAAAATACAAGTGACGTTTGGATAGAAATTAGAATATTTTTGTTTACTTGCCAAGAGTTATATTTTGGTCAGTGTGAATAATTCATTCAGCAAAACTAACTAGTACGCAGATATATAAGTAAAATAAATAAAATGGATATGCAAGTGCAAAATTTCGACGGCCGTCAAGTGAGATTTAATCGAGTTTGGATGGAACAAATTCTACTACAGATTTGTAAGTAAAATAGGTATTCAATACAATTTCCAAAGGTTAAGGGTCACCAGAATACGTTATTAACGGTCGCTACCAATGTCAAAGAAATTCTATAACGTAATATTTAAATAAATACTTGTTATAGTTAATGAAAAGAATAATAAAATCACTCTAACAAGGTATAAAATAAAGTGTACATTGACCCTTTGGTTACCAAGAACTTTTATAGAGAAAGAAACAAGATCTCTGTTCTAATTGTTATAAGTAACAATATGTTTAAACAATTATTAATTTAATCCTTGTCATAACTTTCTACTCTTCCTAGCCTCAATAGAAATTTAGTATCACTATTAATTTAGTAAATTTGACCAAATTTATGGTTGTAACCAATTTCACTGAGTTTTTCAATTAAGAGAAAATCACTAGAAATGTTAAATTAATAAATAGCTTCAATTTGTATTAAAAAAATCTTCAAGTAATTACTAATTGGAATCAGTATGTAAACACATAAATTACACCAAAAACTTGTAACTTCTCAGTTGTTTTTATTTTCCTTCTGTTCATATATTATCATCATCATCATCAGTTGGAAGAATCAACTGCTGGACAAAGTTTTTCCCCCTGATATATCATTATTATAGTTTTGAGAAATTAATATTTATATTTCAGCGGATATCTTTGAGATCCGTATAGTATGGGACAACAATGCAGCTCTGTTGACAACTGTGATGGCAGTCGCTGGTGGTGTGATGGGTGGGTACGCTGGTGGTAGACTTGGTGCAGCACTGGGAGCTGGCATCGGAGGAGCTACTGGACTCGGAGTATCAAGTGAGGAACTATTTTAAAACTTTTATTGCAACATATTTTTAAACCTTGCAAATACATATGTGACTTTTTGTTGGTTTTATCAACTTACAAAGTTTATATAGACACCACCGACTACCAAAAATTGGCGACAGGAAACTTTGTTTGTATTTTCTGATTTGAGCAAGCAGTGTTCTTCATTTGAAAAGAGGCCTTTGCTCTGCAGTAGGCACTTATATGCTGGTGATGAATGATGAAATTTGAATGAAGCTATGACATGCATGTTAAGCACCCTGTTTCTTAAAACTGGGCATAAAATCAACTCATTGTGTAAAGTTATTGATAGGTAACTCATAAGTTTAGTAAAAATAACATTTTTTATGTCATACACCAGCAATTGAGCTGATAGATTACCTTATGGTAAGCAATCGGCGCCCCCCCCATGGACATCCGCATCACCAGATTTTTTGCTGGCTATCCTCATAGGGATAAGGGTTTTTGAGGATTTAAGGATTTGGAGTTAAGGATTGGGCCTCTGGTAACCTCACTTACACAATACTGTGGTTGTTCCACGCCAGTTTTCTGTGAGGCTGTAGTATCGCTGTAGTTGAGCCAACCCATTTGTGCCGAAGCTTGGCTGTTCTCTCAATTACGTTACAAAGCCCAGGTTTACAAGATCAACTGCATTTGTGGTTGGGCAAACAAAGCGGACCATTGTACCACACTTGATCTGATAATTCGAAAAATCAATCTTAATAAAATGAGCAACTATTATAGACTTTATTGTTGCATTCCAGCGGTGGTCTCGCTAAGACAAATTTGGGAGACAGTGAAGGAGCAGCTGAACGAACTATTGTTCATAATATTCAACTATCTACGAAGACTGGATGCTGTTGACTACATGAATGCGTTCAGGATCCTCATGCGGTGCATGGAGAGCAGACGGGAGCTGGTGTTTACGATCGTGGAGTTCATTGCTGAGAAGCTAAGCACACAGGTCACGTCTAGTATTGCTTACCATCACTGAATTTACTCGGTAAGGCTGTAGTTTGGTGGAATGTTCCTTGGGAATACTAAACATCTGAACAAAGATATGGTGACCTTGACTTTATATCAAAACTAAAATTGAAATTTCAATAAAGTTTTACAGAATGGTATATAGGTTGATCTTCTACCGTCTGAAATTCAGTGTCAGCCCATTGACTTCAAATTCAAGACAAAATGAGCGTGTAAATATTTAAATAAGTCTGAAAAAGATAGTTTTGTCATTGTTTGTTCTTTACCAAACGATCTACAATTAGATTTAACGAATTTGCACCTTATGTCCTTAACAGAGTTATTAAGTTGTGCGTACCTACGTAGATTATAATTGACTACACGCGGTTGCTTGGCAACCGGCTGCCTTGCAACGTATCGCGGGTCCGATGCCCGCACAGAACAGCTCTTTGTGTGATCCACAAGTGGCTTGTGAAATTGTATTTGTAATGACACCCCCGATACAGAAGAAATTCCAGTGTGGGGCAACATTTTTTATAAAAAGAAAGAAAGAATTAAAATAATTGACTGCACGGATGGTGTGGTGGCTGGGCAACTGGCTATCGCGCAACTTGTCGTGGTTTCGATTCTCGCACCGAATCGTTCCGGGTCTTGGTGTGATGTGTTTGTTTGTAAACGCACCAACGACGAGAAAATCGTAGTGAGAGCAACTATTTTTTTTAAAGAAAAAAAAAATGCTCTGCTTTAAATTGAAATACGTAGCGCATTAAGCGTTTGAAATTTTTGCAGGTCGTGACGGCACGCTTACGATTTGTGCCCGAAAGGGCTAGTAGTAGTTTCTTTTTAATATTAATTTTCTTTGGAACTGAATGCAGGAATTAATGTGATAATTATAGATAAACGTAGTTCTTAATAGATACAACCAATCTGAGGTTCTTTAAGTTGTAAAACCATGAGAACTTTGCAAAGGAAAATGCTCACTTCAAAATTACAGTTAAAATATTACTTATCTAATTTGAATCATTTTTTTTCCAACTTGTCTTATTAAGGATCAAAGCTGTTTATGACCCTTCGTTAGGTTTGTATTAGCGCTATGTAATAATATAATATAACCTAACAAAATAGTTAGTGATTGTTATTTCGCATAATACTCACGATTGTGGGCCCTTGACTTGGTTTGAAACGAGTCGAGTAACATCGTATGAAAGTTAGGGCCTGTTACGCAATGTTTGAATAACTACTATGTGATTGATAAATTTAAATCTGTATGATCTATGTATCAAAAGTTTATAGGGAATTTATATGAAGATATTGAAACAGACGCTTAGTCGTATATCTTAATTAATTTAATGTATTTTGCAACATGACAATGGTTTTATGAAAATAATAGACGAATTGTGTTATGTATATATTGTTTTTAACGTAGACTGAATTTTTGCTGCTCAAATCCAAATATACATATAGTATATCTTACTGCATACATATTTAGAACCTATATATTATAATTGTATATATTATAAAATATATGTGCCTATACCTATATATAAATAGATCTTGTTTATTGTAATATAATGTCGGTATGTAACATTATGATACTCAAGTATACCAAAAAATAAATATTTTAAAAAATTGCGAAGAATAAATCTTTGTGACAACACTCATGAATAAGAGTCCCGTTGTGACCTGAAAGTAGTCGAGATTTTCTCACTTAATTCATGCAAGTAAGTTATTTTCAATAAATTATCATTATCAGCCGGTATCCATTCAATAATGCCCATAGGCTGCATTATAATAAATGTTTATTGTATGTAAGTGTGGGAGAGCCATGCTTCGGCACGAATGGGTCGGCTCGATCGGAGTTATACCACGGCCTCACAGAAAACCGGCGTGAAACAACCTCAGCGTTGTGTTTCGCCGTATGAGTGAAGTTACCGGAGGCCCAATCCTTCCCCTCCCCCTATCCCTCCTCAATCCCTAAATCTCCAAAACCCTAATCGCTAAAAGGTCGGCAACGCACTCGTAACTCCTCCGTTGCGGGTGTCCATGGGCGGCGCTGATTGCTTACCATCAGGTAATCCGTGTGCTCGTTTGCCGACCTATTACAAAAAAAAATGTAATAAGTAAATAATCATGTTTGTTTATACATGTGTATTGATAATCAATAAGCCAGTCCGGACTTTGGTCGTTAGCAACAAAATAAATCTATTTTCAACCTTATAATGTACCCTAGTAATGTTAATACAAAGAAAAATAAATCTTAATTGTTGACCAAAGGAAGAATATAATTATCAGTTAGGTAAATAAAAAATGAATGATTTATTGAAATATTTTAGTTTATAAACTTGCATAAATTAAAGTATCACAAAGATATCCTAAATGTGATTATGATATCAGGTATTAGATTTGCATAATTATCTTTATCTAAATTAGCTGTGAGACGTCACACCGTCCGATACCGTTTTCGCATAATATTTAGTATTGATAAATTAAATTAAAAATACATAAAATTTTCATGCATGTTGTATTCCAGAATCCATTTTTTAAATTGTATTTCATGAAGTAAAAGTTTTCGCATAGTCACGTCCTCTCGCATTGCCCTTTGTGAGAGGAGCCATTTGTTTTTTTTTATGGAATAGGTGGCAAACGAACAGATGGATCATATTGATGATTTCCCGTAACAGAAAAGGGTATTAATAATATTGTACATAAACCTATAATATGCAAAAAATGGCAGGCAGATCATTTTTGATATTTTTCTCGCTTTTCATCGACTTCCCGCCTCCTATCTTTAAAAGATAGATACCAACATATATGTACTTTCTGAACTAGATGTCTCCACTCAGGTCGGTTCGCAGCTAAAAACTCCAACGATCAACGAGACAGTTTTGGTTCAATTACTGCATTTTGGTCTTTTATATAATTGCATATCGGATGACCTAATAATTAAAGCATTTTCTGCCAGACATTCTCTTGCATATCTCTTTTAATCGCCGCCTTTTCACATAGATATCAAGATACAGTTCAGAAAAGAAACTGCGTAATTATTTCTTATAAGGAAGCAATTATATGGATGGCTTCATGGCTTTAATAATTGACCGTCCTCTTTATGTTAAGATGTTGATTGTAACTTGCACCTTTGTGATGATATTAATGTTATTTATGTATAACTTCACTGCGCTTCTTTTTGAATAATAATAGTTATGCTGTTTACTGTTTTATGGCATTTAATCCTTATGTACCTTTTATATTTGATTAGATTTTGTATTTGATAAACATTTTCTGACGTTTTGGCAGGGTTAGGTACACCTGCCATGGTCACAAGCAGACTGACCATATTGTAACCATGGCAGGTGTGTGAAAAGGTACTGTTAAATCCCTTAAACAGTAAAGTATTAATTAATGCAACGTGAAAGTTTAAAGTAGGTGTAATACTAATATTTTTTTGTCGCCAAGATGGCGCTAGTGACGCACGTAATACATGTTTAATTGAATAATTATCTTCAACGGCTAACTGACGGCAGCTTTGGCTGCGTGATGTTCACTGCTATTAAAAATAAGAGCCCCAGTGTGGCTTGAAACTAGACAAGCTATCTCGTCAAAACAGCCTCAGTAAGCCGATAAACAATAATTATTGTTATATTTATCCAAAAGAACTCAATCTACAACATTTCTGTATTGTATTATAATATAATTATACTGTATGGTATTGTACACTAGTTAATTAATAGTATTTTAAATATTAAAGTGCCTTTTATCATGCTCAAATCTGACACAGGCAATATAAACATATAAAAATTGTTATAATGTTTGACGGAATTGCTTTAATTTCTTTCTGATGGCCAGTCTCAAAGACCTTCTCTATCTATGGAGTTGTTTTCTAGAATAATATGTTGATTGTATAAAAAAAACATAGCAAATGTATCCAAATCTATGGTTGGGTTATAAATCTAAATATGTATCTACTTTGCCTACTTAAGGGCCTGTTTTTTTATTGTAAGTTTTATTAATAATATTTTAATTATTATGTTTTCGACTTAATCACGTAATAATTTGACGAGATACTCGACTAGTTTAGCAGCCGAAAACATTATATATAATTAATTTAGAATGTCTCACGAAAGTTACAATAAAAATTATATTTCATGTTAATTATACATCAAATTGATTGTGTCAGTGAGAATAATATAAAATTTACACCTTAATCAGGTAACACCATGCCAATTTCAATCAACTGTACTTGTTTTTTGAACCGTTATAGCACTGAAGGGTTGTTATTTCCAGATTTTCCTCTCTAGTAGTTTTATTGAAACGTCGAATTATATTATTTTGGAGGAGGATCTATGGAGCGTCGTGCCGAGACATGCTAGTAGTGCGCACCGGCCCTCATGAGAGGAGTCGTGAGACAGGCCCTACCCTTAGTTTTAATTTCCCTATATCATTTTACCCAAAGAGACTAGTATAGTACCTAGAATATCTTAGTAAATTAAGTTTGATGCAAATATTTTTGAATTTGTTTTTAATAATTTCTGTTGTAGTGTAATTTTTGTACGAAATGGTGTTGGAAATAAATCGTTTGAATTTTTTTTCTATGGATTTTTATTAAGATCCTTTGTGCGTCAGTGACTTGCACGGTTTTTTTACAAACTAAATGTTTTTGAAATTTATCTTGGCAGTTCTGTTACTCAGTGCAGCAGACATAAGAAATGTATCATATAGAATCATCGTCGCCAGCTTGTGGACTATTTCAGTCGGGGTTGTGGATGCAAGCGCTGTAATAAAGAGTAGGAGTTGAAGGAGATTCGGGGGAAGGATCTATTTCAAAAAGATGCTGGTAGGTGTCTCGACCGTACTTCAGGTATTGCTCTGATAGCCGTGGGATGGCTCTCCTTCCCCGAGCAGCTCAATCTATGTCGCCCCCGTGTCGCTAAATATTGGCAGGGCGCGGGGCATAGTACTTCCATAGGTATCATGTCTACTAGTTCATAGCCTTGAAATGTGACAAATAATAATAATACTATTAGACTCGTTGTGTCCTGAGCGTACGGCGCGTAGCGTTCCGCGAGCGCCTCAGAGCCAATGGACCACCACAGACGGTGCCCTATAGGGCTGATGTTCAGCCGGGGTTGCGGGGTAAGCGCAATGAGGAACTTCGGCCTCGGCCCAGAGCAAGCAGGAGAAAAAACGGGGGGGATTTGAGTCAGTAAGAGTCTGACAATCTCTCTCGCCTTACCCTGGGCAGTAGAAGTCATTTGATGATTTTCCCCTGACAAAAAAGACTCTTTGTGTGATCCACAAATTATTATTCCGAGTCTGGGTGTCATGTATTTGTAAACGCATCCTTTCTCCTGATGTTCGTCTCATGTTTTTGCCTGCACGGTTGGCGCAATTGTTGGGCTCCTGGCTGCAGTACAACATGTCGCGGTTTCGATATCCGGACGGAACAACTCTTTGTGTGATCCGCATATTTATATTTTGTAAACGTACTCAGTGGTTGGATGAGAAGAGCTGAACATCGAGCTCAGTGGCGTGCAATAGTCCAGGATGCCTATGTCCAGCAGTGGACGACATCAGGCTGATGATGATGAAACGTACACATGACAGAGGAGAATAATACTAGGATTCCTAGGTAGGTAGGGCACTAGGAGTTCTTAAAAACTCATACACATTAGCAGCAATCCAGTGAGGCGCTACGGTTTCATGAAAATCAAAAAAGGAGAAAAAAGGTATATAAATAAAACAAATAATAATTTTTCAATATCTGTATTCAGTGCGCAATTTTACAAAACAGGAACAATTTGAAAGCTATCACTATCGCTAAACTATTAAGGCAACTGTTGACAATCACTCGGCAAACGACTAAAACTGACAATTATTGATATTCTTTTAAATATTATTATTAAAAAAAATACAATAAAAATCACAATTAAATAGTCTCCCTAAAATAAAATTAACATAAATATAAAATGAATATATTATATGCCAATTTATAGTCTTCAATAAAGGTTTCTTTGTATTTTTCTCAGATGGCGTTATTGTTGCAAAACAACGCCATCTAGCGAGCAAAAAAAGATAACCATCATTCAAGACACACTTGGCAAAGAAACTCCAAAAAAACTCTTACAAAACAAAAAACTATTTGAAATAAATAGGACGCACACAAAAATAAATAATAGACACATTAGGTATTATATTTGTTCATGATTTTCATATATTATATAGATAAATAACGAATGTATATAATTAAAATACTGAGGATTTTAAATGCATTTTTAAGTATGTAAACCTATATTAATAGTGTAGGAAAGTCAAGTTTCGGCACGAATGGGTCAGAAAACTGGCGTCAACCAACAGTTATATTTGTTTCGCTGTGTGATTGGGGTTACCGAAGGCCAAATCATCCCCCCATTCTTAAATCCCCAAAAGACTAGCAACTCACTTGCGATTCCTCTGGTATTTTTCTAAGGGCAGTGCCGATGGCTTTACATTATGTAATCTCCAACTAATCTTTCATTCTAACCAGTAAAAGCTAGAATAAACGCTATTTCTGCTTTTGCTGTTTGTAATACTGTATGTATATAAATATATATAAAACGAAATAACACAAAAAACAACAAATACATATTATTGACATTCACAAAGTTAGGTTTAAGTATGAATGTTTTTTCTACAATTATATATTGTAAGAATAATCTATAATAATGGAAAACCTGGGTTCCAGTAGGTATTATCAATTTTGGTCCAGCCATTTAGGACTTTTAACAACACATTTTTTTATATTTTTTTTTGTTTAAGTAAACAAGTTATAACAATAAATAACATAACAATTAGATAACAAATATGTATAACTATTTAATAAATAAAACAATAGAAGAATGATAGACGCGCGAACGCCGGCCTTCGCTTGAATGATTATATAAATAATTTTCTCAATAATCGTCAGTATTAGTCAAAACACGCCACAAAATCGCTTACATCACTACATGTCAAAGTTTTATAGACATTGGTACATCATCCCATCTCTTTCGCACACCACTATGTGAGACAAGGACGGCAATTTTTATCCACTAAACAAGTGATGGATCGCATCAAAAATGTATTTTTCTTTATAAGGTATTACATTACAAGTGATTTTTGTGAGTTTTTCAAACTAAATCACATTTTTAAACTAAGAAAGTTTATATTTTTATGAAGCGATCATTTCTGCGTTTACTCATAAGTGTGGGAGAGCCATGCTTCGGCACGAATGGGTCGGCTCGATCGGAGAGATACCACGGCCTCACAGAAATCCGGCGTTAAATAACTACAGCGTTGTGTTTCGCCGTGTGAGTGAAGTTACCGGAGGCTCAATTTTCTTCTGATTTATAGTTTGCTTTCAATAACAACCATTATAAATACTAAAACATTAGTTTGCTCAAAAAAGTTCCTTGTAATATAAAATCCATATAAATTATTATTATAGTGTTCATTCTACTTCCTACCTTATTGTCTACCCCGTAAGTGATAAGTTTGAAGATCAGCTAGTTTCGATGCAATCCATCTTTACAATAAGTTAGATATATCTAGATCTAGAACCTACAGGAATGTCTAAATAGGTGCACTAGAGAATGCAAGGTAAACGCAATTCTTTTACTTTACAATAAAGTTCATTATAGTTTACATCTTCATGAGCAAAAATAATATATATTATGTAAACGTTTGTAATAGACAATCACCTTAACGATTGATCAATTTTAAAGGATTTATCAATCATCAAGGTTTATGAACTTTTAAAGTATTATTATTCAGCATTAAATAGTCCACATATAATCAAATTTCTTGCAAATGCTTACATAAATAAATAAATATTTCGATAAAATCCAATATTTATATAAAACTGGAATACCTTTTTTGCTAATGAATATATAAACTTTAATAAATTTTAGGCCTAAAACCTACATTTCTTATTAGTAACAATAAATTAGTTAAAATAGTTTTTTTTTTATTAAAAGTCAATAAATTAAAAACCATTGGTAAAATAGATATAAATGGAGAAAAAATAAAACATTATTACTATGTCAGAAACCTATTAGATTGATCAATCGTAGAACCTAAGCGATTGATAGATTGATAAATAAATAAAAGAATAAATAAAAATGTCATGACATATATGAGATTTCTAAAATTGAATTTAATTATGAAGTTTTTTATTGGGTACAACCATTTATAAACTTAACCATTATGTATATTTTTTAAGTAAATTTTGTACTACGCGTTTAACTTATTCAATCAAGTCCGCCTCAAGGTTAAGAGGCCTTGAGACCCTTGTTAATTATTGGTTATTAAGTACTTACATGTATTTCGGAATAAATATTCTCACTAATAATTGCATTTAACAGCCAAAACTAAACACTATTTAAGTATATTTGAGAAGATTTATAATTGCATACAACTTGACCAGAAACCAACGTCTAGATAGCAAATAGTTTAAATAGGGCTTATTTTTCAATGGTTAGATAAAGGCTATCTACGGAATAATTATGATGCTGTCGCGTCAGAATGTGTAAGACAGTGACAGCAATAATTTTATTCATTAGATAACATTTATCCGACTTTTGAAAAATCTGCTTTAAATAATTTGTTTTTATTTTTTTTAAAACGCTATCCGTTATTTTATTATACATTGCAGGATGAATGTTGATTTCTGTGACAACATGTACAGTTAAATGTGCGAACAATGTTGCCAGAACAAAAGAAAACCAAAAGCTGGCAACATTGGAATAAATAATTAAATTTTCTACAAAATAACTTATCAACTTCCTACTTTATTGTAGATTTAAAAGTATTTTATATATTCATGTCATGTTTCAAACAATTTTTATCTTTATTTCTTGGTCTTTAGAACGTATTATACTTAATACCGAAGTATTATCTCACTGGTATACTAAGCGTATAGGAAACAAGTTAAAAGCATCATTTTCTTTTAAATAAACATGTGATTGCTAACTATATCTATCTCTGTTACACATATAGTGTATTGTAGGTGAAAGAAAGAGACGAATATAGTTTAGACATTACTCATACAGTGCTTAAGTACTTTTTAGCTTAAGTTTTAGGACTATTTTGAGGCGTAGATTAGGCAATAAATAAATAAATAGCTAGTTAGCCGGTACAAGGGGCTCACTTATCTTCCATAGCGTTTTTAAGCTCCATGGCTAGTTTGTAGCCTAACTCCGGTCGCCTGTCGCGCCCTTCCACCATTGCTAGTACCTGTAAAAATATATTTTGACGTTAATGTGTATATAAATACTAGCGAGCGCTCGCGGCCATGACCTAGAAGGACTTAAATATTTGTTTTACTTAAATGTACATAATCTCTTCAAATTGTAACCGTTTAGCTATCACGGTTTATGAGAATCAGCCTGGTGCCAGACAGACAAACGGACAGACAGCAAACCACGGAATCTCAGCAAAAGAGTCCTCGTTGTAATACGATGGGTACCAAACCGTACTTAATTAAAATTCACGAACAAAACGTATGTATGTACATACATAACAATATTTTTTTTGTCTAATTAGACTAACATTTGGGCATTTTACTTATGCAAAAGCAATAGCGTGACGGGTGACAGGACAGAACAGAAGAAAAAACATATTGCGCCAACCCCAAATAAAACGCGACAAGGGCAGGAAGATGATGATGACTTGACAAAAACAATATAACTGATTAATAAAATACGATACGCTCCTACTAGCATTAATAAACTTTCGCGTTTAATAATAGGTCTTTACTTATGAAATTGCCGTTCTGCAGTACTAGCCATTTCAAATCAAAATAGTTTTTGTTTGGCTAAGGCTAATTAATTTTGTTTTAAAAACATGGGATTCTTTTTCCAAAAGTAGTCATTTGTTTATTGATTAGTGTTACATTTTCATCGCATTTCAAATAAAAAAAATCGTTTTAATTTTTTCATGCAAAACGGCAATTTCATAGGTAAAGACCTATTATTTATAACATATAATTACGCAGGTATATTTAGGCAGACTACAGTACTACTACTGACAATCTGCTTGCGACTATGACCCGTGCAACCAGGTCGAAACGTCAAGCCTACCAAGGTACTCAAATAATTATTTTAATATTCGCGTAATTGGGTAGTTTCGTAGGTCAAACATAAACTAATTCGACGTTTCAATACAATAAAAATATTGAAAAATAATTATACTTTTATTCATCGATCAATCGATACACTGAATTTTAGATATTTTTTAAGAAATAAGTAAACTACTTGACGCAACGATGACGTCATAACTAAATTTTTCATACTTATTTCATAGAAAATTATCGTTTTTGACATTTGGATAAAAGTATTGAATTTGACTAGTTGGAAACTCCGTATTATATGTTGTCAAGATACGCTCCTTCCTCCCAAATGAAATTTATGTCTTTAACTGCCGACAGAAAACTGTTGAAGGCAAATCCTCCGCTAACGGAGGTCACCGGTGACCCCCATGGCGCTTAACGTGTTATAATTAGTGCTTGGATCCAGTTTGAGAAAACAACATGCGAAATAATGCCCACCTCATCAGAGTTGACGATAACTCCATTGTTGTTGACGATGGTAGCCTTGGTCTTCTCGATGTCGGCGAGGTCCACGCCGCGACTGGCGTCCTCTATCAGGATGGAGCGGTAACCGATGGCTAAGGCATCGGCTATCGTTGCGCCTGATAAAAACAGAGTAGTTATTGCTACATTTAGGTTTTTCAATCAATTTTTTTCTTTAATATAAAACATATTATTATTCTCTTCAGTGCCGTGAGTGGCGGTTATGATTACAATTTTCTTATTGCACACAAAGATTTCTGGATCACATAAATAATAGGTTAGTGGTGGAATCTAAAAAACGTCGTTGTGGTCCGCCCGCTTCTCATACACGAGGTTCGAAACGTGACAAGTACCAATGATACTTTTTCCAAGTTATATGTACTTTCTATGATTATTTAGACACCACTGACATACGGCGAAGGAAACCGTACTAGTAATTTCTAATTAAAAGTTTGAAATCGTCAAATTATGAGTTTGAAATCGCCGATCTGAATTGATCAAGCGTGGGGATGAATGCTCTAACCGTGTGAGGAGAGGCCTTTGCTCAGCAGTGGGCACTTATAGGCTGATGGTTTAATGTGTCACAAGACGTTTGGCTGCACCAACCGTGCAGTTAACACTTTGCGGAGAACGCGACGACTAGGAAAAAATAACCATTTTAATTAAATCATTCAAATTTCTTCCTTTACATAATAACAATAAGGTCCAACTTAACCTTAGCTACCCACACATACATCATACGCCATCCCACAATAAAAGTGATATAGATACCTTCCAAGACCGACAACAATCCATCCAATCCGTCATTCAAATCCAGTCCATAAGAGAATAACAATAAGTTCTATATTAACTTACCCACGCAGACATCATAAGCCAGTCCACAGATGTAGATATCAGTGGCGCCTCTCAGTCGCAGCTGGTTGCCCAAGCTGGTGTCTGTCAGCTTCTTGTTGTCCCAGAACACGGAGTACGAGTCCACCTCGGGGTTCGTGCCTTTGTAGATTTTTACAGCGCCGTCCATTATCTGGAAATAAGAAACAAGTGGATGTGGAATATGTTTTATTGTATTTTGAAGGGAAGAGATTCATCCAATGATTACTAGACGTAAACAGTCAGATTTTGTCACAAAATTATTTGTATAGTAGTATTTTTGGTCGCAAGGGAAGCTCCCCAAATTACTTTCTGTCAGCTTGCGACCACGACCTGTGTAACCGGGTCGAATTGTCAAGCCTACCAAGGTATTCAAATGATAATTTTCCGCGTTAATACCCGCGTGAATAAATATATGTTATTTGTTGTAAGTATTTTTTAGGAAAACACCAAGTCGACCCATATGCGCTGCAGGCGCCCTTACTCACTTACTTTCCAAACTTTATAAATAATTCTCAGATCTAACAGTCATACAAATAAAGATACCGGTCTTGAACTGTTTATCAGTAATAAAATGTACACCCTTTTTTATAGCAACTATCGTGAGACATAATTAATTATAATCAATAATTGTCATCAAGAAATCTGGACCCTGTTGTAGTTACCTTAAGGTCCTTATGCAGCTCTGCGCCCCAGGTGTCTTGGACGCAGTGTCGCGGCCACAGCCGCTGCTTCATGGGGGGCGGGCCCGCGAACACCACCGTGTCGTAAGCCTGTGCCTTGTCTGCTGGCACCTGGAGGCCAGATGATGAAGAAATGAAATAAAGAAACTGATGATAATAGCATATGAACATATTTTGTCAGACGAGACGTAGAAACTTCAATCAATACAACTTTTATATAAATGAACAGATTTAAAATAAAAACTTTGTTTCACTCTTATATGTTCTCTTGTATCGTGACTTCGTTTACAAACATACAATATCACACCGCGCCCAGACCAACAATTTGTAGACACAAAGAGTTGTTCCGTGCGGGAATCGAACTCGCGGTACGTTGCGCGGTAGCCAGTTGCCCAGCTACCAGGCCAATAGTGCAGTAAAATTATTTTATTGGTATAATCGCATAGGTATTCACCAGATTACCAATTAATTGAAGGTACCAGTTTGTGGATTAAGTTCAGCATCATTTCTTCCTTTACACCCAGAGACGTTTCGGGGGAGGACTGTTTGGCAAAACCCATCTAATCCTCAAAAATTGCCCACTTAATTTATCTAACCAGGAATCAATTACAAGAGTTTACATCGTGATTCTGTTGAGTATCGATTCCCGTGGTGACGTGATGAAGTAACAAACACTGTAAGCGGCCCGCGCTGCCACAGACTAAACACGCACGGGCCGCGCACCTACTTGTGACGCAGGAAAATAGGGCTGTTATTCGAAGGCTTTATAAGGGATAGGTTGGCAAACGCGCATACAAGTAAACTGGTGTTTAAGCATGGGTGTCCTCGGGTGGCGCTGATTGCAAAATCAAATTAGTTACGTGTGCGTTACTAGCCTTTTGGGGATGAGAGTTTCTGATAATTAAGAATTGAGGAAGGATAGGAGAATGGGGAGCGTTGGGCTTTCGGTAACCTCACTCGCAAGGCAAAACACAACGCTGTTTGTTTCACGCCGGTTTTGTAAAAGGTGTAAGGTGTAAGGCCGTGGTAACATTCCAGTCGACCCGACCAAATTATGCCGAAGCTTGGCTCTTCCAAGTTTTTGGCTGTAACTTTGTTTGAGTCAGTAAAGTGTACGAACACAACTTTCTAACATTTTTACGTACCATTTGAGAGGCTGCCTAACCCAGCTAAGTCTCACTGAACAATAACCCCCAAAAGTAACACAGAAAATATTACAAGCCAATGCTGTGCTTTTACTAGAAAATTCTCCTATTTTGGTGGTATTCCAAAGCTAAATTAATTTATTGTAACTAAAACATAAAACAGTACTTTTGAAACGTCATACTAGAATAGTAGTCTGTTAGTGAAGCTAGGAGCTCATTCCAAATTGTAGATTCGAATGGAAAAGAATGAGCAAGAAACTCCATCGTTGCCTACTCTTTTTAAATCCAATTATTTTACTTAAGTTAGCCACAATGACTTCGCAATAAATTCTATTTCAGAGACAGCCCTTGCACAGCAAACGAGGTCAAGTTCAAACGATTGTCCTCAAAAAGTTTGTACCATTAAATTTTATTGACATTTTTATGGAGATTTAGACGAGGGCCCAATTTGCCACTCCAACGTTTATTGATTGTTTGGGATATCCGAAATAAGTACCTTAAGCTATTTAAATAACTGAAGTCTTGTTCATACATGTCGTCGGATTTAAGACACAAATTTGTACGAAAACATTCGACTGATTGTTTGATCTTGTAACCTGGAGGTCTTCTAGAAGTCAAGCCTAATACAGTGTCGGCATTTTAGTCCTAATCTGAAACCTTAATTCGATATTCAACTGTTTAAGATTGTGGTGAGGCTAAGTTAGTGTTACCAAAGCAACTGAATGGAAAAGATGAATTCTGACCTGCATTTTGCACATCGAATAGTAAGTGTTGCCTGCAAAAAGACCTGCCTTCTTAACACTTAGAACGCCGTGTCGGACAATGCTGTCCGACGCTAGCGGAGGGTTAGCCTTAAACAGTTTTTGTCGGCAGTCAAATGCTTAAATGGAAAGCTATCATAATTCCGAGATCAAAATATTGAAGACTAGCTTTCGCCCACATAGAATGGTAATAAATAGTAGCCTATGTCCTTTTCCGGAGTATATCCTATAAATGTGGTAAATTTCATCCAGATCTTCTTTCGTCTAGTCGTTTTGGCGTGATTGAGTAACAAACATCCAAACACCGTAACTTTCGCATTTATAATATTATGTAAGATGCTAGGTACTACTGGTAGCCCGGCTCGCTGGTCCTCACACATCAGGCAGTGGTGACTTACCGGGTTAGAAGGATGCAGTTCTCTCATATGCACATTGTCGATGAAGGAGACGTGGTCAGGCGGGTGCCAGTCCAAGGAATAGAACACCGCATCGAACGGCACAGTGTCCAGGAGTCTGTTGATTGGTTCTATCACCTGGAACAATACAAGTCATGTTTATGTCTTGACTGTATGACTGCCGCGAACGTGTCGCGGGTTCGATTACCGCACGGAACAACGTTTTTTGTGATCGACAAATTGTTGTTTTGGGTCTGGGTGTATGATGTGTATGTACTAAAATTGTACGTTATAAAGGTATTTTTTCCAAATGTATATAATTGTTTGGTGTCGCTCGGTGACTGAAATTAATTCTTAGTCAGAACTTCAAAGGATATGTTAGGATTTAAGATAATGGCAGACAAATTGACGGATTCGTATATATTTTGTCAGAAATCCAGGTTTAATACAATGCTGCTGCATTTAGACAACATTTGAAAGTGTACCATCATCTGACTCAATCAGTAACAATATGAAAAACACATACTGTTACTTAAACTTCAAAGTCGCATCTACATATAATACGTATTAAAACTAAAACTTTAAGGACAATTCAGCCAGGGTTGCGGGGTAAGCGCAATGAGGCACCGCGACCTCGACTCAGAGCAGGAGAAGGAACAGTGGGGGTTTTTAGTCAGTAAGAGTCTGACACTCCCTCACAAGTCATTTGATGATTTTCCCCTAATAAAAAAAGGACAATATACCTACCGGGCTAACTAACGGTGGTCTGGCCTTAACCTCCAGACCAGAATGATATGCTAAAAGTATTTAAGCTTATAATAAACATCAAAATATAACATAATAGGTACCTATGTAACTTACATAATTTCGTAAAACAATATTAAATTAGTAATGAAATACGCCTAGTTAACTGAGCAAATTGGAAGCGGGGCTAACCTGTTACCTAGTGAACCTAGTCATAGAATTTACCATAATTTCATCTAGCCTACAACATCATGAGGCAATTTATTTAACAACGAAATCAATTTCTCTACGTAATGATATGGTTATAGTCATTCAATAATGTCATGTAAATTGTGTTCGGGTCTCTACCGATTGGGTACTTTAATGTATGGCAATCTAGGCTGAAATGTAGGCTGTAATACAGGCTGAAACTATGGCATTGAAACGGATATAAATAGGGAGTTGTGTGAAGATTTTTTGACGTCAAGCGATAAAGTTAGCTTTACTTACGTAAAATGGGAAAACATAAAGAAATTATTTGGCAATTGTAAAGTATAGCAACGAAGATAGATCTTATTGTATGTTTTTTTACTTGCAATAAACTAGTCCTTGACTGCGATCCCACCCGATGGTAAGCAGTGATGCAATCGTTGATGGTAAGCAGTGATGCAATCGTTGATGGTAAGGCGCACTAGTTTATTAAGAGCCTATTCACTCTAGCCTTGAAGACACCTAAATTATATTTAGAGGGAAAGACTGTAGCCGGCAAACTGTTCCAATCCCTCGATGTACGCGGTATAAATGACGAGGCAAAACGCTTAGTCCGGGCCGCAGGTGTCTCAACAACGCAAGGGTGGATATTCGCCGTACGCCGGGATGTCCGAAGGTGAAATGGGGATGGCGGAATCAAATCGTGCAATTCCTGGGCACACTCTCCAAAATGCATCCTGTAGAAAACCGCAAGGCTGGCTACTCTGCGCCTGTGCTCGAGACTTTGAAGAAAGTATGTAAGCTAAGTTTGTTTTACTTTCAATTCGCACACCTATTACTTGTATTTCTTATTCAAATATACTGAAAAACCTTTATTCTGAGTCGGAGTAAAGGCTTCTTCTTAGCTTCTTAATCTATACTATCTATACTAATATAATAAAGAGGTAAGTTAATAATTTTGTATGTAGGCGGTTATCTTTGAAACCGCTGGTCGGATTGCCAATTCTTTCACTGATAGATAGCTACAATGTTCCTGAGTGCTATTAGGCTATAAAACATCACGCTACGATTAAATGGAGCCGAGCAGCGGGTCAAACCGAGAGAGAATAGCTAGTAATATTATAAAGCTGTAGATTTTATTTGTTTGAGCACGCTAATTTTCGCTAATTACTGAGGAAGGCTATAAACCGGAGGAGCCGAGCAGTGGATAAAACCGCGCGAGAGTAGCCAGTAACTAACATGACGGAACCAGAAATTTTGAAAAAGACTTTAATTTCATTGACCAACTCTTCAAGTACGAAGAACATAGTCAAAGTCAAAGTCAAAATCATTTATTTCAATTAGACCACAGTAGGCACTTTTGAACGTCAAGCAAGAAGCTAAAAAGTATTTCAAGAGCTTTATCTTTAAGCGTGCCAGTCTGCCCGTCTGTCCTTTAGTGAAGCTATTTGCTCGTTCCAAAGTGTAGATTCCTATGGAGAAGAACGAGCAAGAAACTCCATGGTTACTCTTTTTCAATCAGTTTTACAATTAATTTCTTTGTTACATCATTTTGTCGGTTCTGATATGTGAGAACAGTATAACACTCAGGTTTAGGCAAAAAATTCGAAAAAGAAGTTGACCTAAAGGACAACATATTTAGTTAGACAGCCTCGAGTTGACATGACACGTACACCAGCACCGACAGTGACTTATTTCATTGACTAACTCTTAACAGACGAAGAAGATAAAGTATACAACCCATATTTGATCCATAATAACCACAAAAATCAACTATCAGAGCCGAAAGACGTGCACAAAACGATAGAAAATCGACAAACACAAATACTTCAGAACGATGAACCTACTAAATCACACAACAAACAGTTAGCGTGATCGTTCAAAAATATTACCACAAAAAATGCGAATCACAAAATTAATCACGGGGGGTAACCTTTAACTATTTATTTATGAAGTATCGCGAGTTAATGTGACCTCAATAATCCGCAATAGTCAGTGCTATTAGTTGCCACAATGGGCATTGAAACCATCAGTCAAGCGTGGCAATTGATGGCGCATTGTGGCACTACCACCATTGACAATAACTCAAACCACCGTCGCCAATAACCCCGTTTCAATGAAAATTAACAAATTTAATCATCTTTTGTGCAAACCATTTGGGCTGGCTCCGGAAACCTTTTGTTAGCGTTTATAAATAAATGTATTTAATAATTACATTTGAAATTAGTTTCGGAAATTATTTCCTGATAATTTCGTCTTTGTGGTTCTGTTTTGAACTCGTTTTAATGTGCAAGTAATTGTTTGTTTTCTCTAAGGAATAAAACGAGGCATGTGAATATCCGAATCAAAAACCATAGTATACACTAGCTTTTGTTCGCGTGGAATTGCACCTTTCTGTAGATTTTTGGTTAAAAAACTATCCTATGTTCTTACTTGAATTCCAAGCTATGTCTGTACCAAATTTCACACAAATAGGTTCAGTAGTTTAGGCGTGAAGAAAAGACAGACAGAGTTACTTTCGCATTAATATTATTAGTTTGGATTATAGCTTTTTAATTCTCATCCACCCATATTTCAGCAGTTATCTTTTGAGTTCCATTTTTAGGGCAGTCATCGACTGTCAAAAGTATGGGATTATTATCATTGTCATGATTAGGCCGTTTTCGTCCACTACTGGACATACATAAATAAATAACTACTTAAATGAGACATAAACATGCAATTACCTATTTTACTTTTATTGACAAATATACATTCATACAAAAATTAAAAAGTTATAACAATCATCTTAAGTAATTGCTTAATCTAAATAAGTAAGTTTGTGTGTTGCCAGCCTTTTACTTAATTTGCTATTAATGTCCTATTACAAGTTTCAAGGTATTCTATTTTTAGTAAAACGTATGAATAAAAAAATATATTGATGTCGGAAACTCCCTACATTCAAGCCGAATTGTATCTATTTACTTTTAACCTTTATGTAAGTTTTAGTTGTAATTTTGTCATCTGCAGTTGCGGATCAAGCACAATAATGTACCGTGGCCTCGGCCTGGAGCAGAAGTAGGAACGGGAGGGTTTTAGTCGGTGAAGGTTTGACATTCTTTCTCGCTCCTTGAGAAAACATTTTTTTTATGTAATAGGTCGGCAAACGAGCCGACGGATTACCTGATGGTAAGCAATCAGCGCCGCCATGTTGCCGACCTTTTAGGGATTAGGGATTTGGAGATTTAGGAACTGGGGAGGGATTGGGGAAGGGGAAGGATTGGGCCTCCGGTAACCTCACTCACACGGTGAAACACAACACTGTGGTTGTTTTACGCCGGTTTTCTGTGAGGCCGTGGCATCACTCCGGTCGAGCCGTGCCGAAGCATGGCTCTCCCACACATTTGATGATTCTTCTCAAAAAAAGGTTATTTCTGTGTGTTATGTCATTGACAAAACTCTGAATCAAAGTTCAAGCATTTATTAATCATCAACTCATCATAATCAGGGCCAATTCTCCAACATCGCATTCCTCAACCATCAAATCCCTAACCCGCAACACCCAAAGGGTCAGCGGCGCACTCGTAAGTCTTCTGATATTGAGAATTCCCAGGGACGGCACCCATATCAAATAAAAAAGTTCTATAGAATTGTAATTTCAAATTAAACAATTGCTTTACTAATTGGAATGGAAAGAAACAAATATCAACAATCATAAAACAATGAAAAAAGAACTTTGTATTCGGTAATGAGAGAAAATCTTCACAAGAAGTTTCAAAGACAAGTTACAATTTATGTAATCTTACCATAACATTATTACCTTAAACTAGGATTCTCAATACTCATCGTGATCTATAAAGCAGGTCATGGCAACCCAGGAGACCGCATCATCAAAAGTACAACCGAAACTCCAGATCGTTTATCAACCTCTAAAAACTTCCACCCTTACCGTCTGGTATTAAAGTCGAAATTGCATTAAATGAGCTCAACAGTAACGGATAGCTTGACGTGCAGCTGTCTTCAAAAATTTTCCCTACAGTCTGGTATTAAAGTCGAAACTGCTTTAAATGAGCTCGACAGTAACGGATAGCTTGACGTGCAGCTGTCTTCAAAAAGTTTCCCAATTAATCAATGCAGTACCGTAACAAATGGTGCATCTACTTTAATTTCACCAGCAAATTGGCTTCGGTTTCCTTCTGCAGTGACCTTGGAGGTATGCAGTTCCT